AGTGATGGGTGAGTGTTCTGATCGGAAACCAGGCTTATCATGTGAATATTAACTTCTTTACATGGTATTACAACAGCGCCTACATGTTGTTTCGAACTATTTTAATCAGTTACAACAGCAAATACTAAACTGGTTGTGCGACATAGAAAAACGTTTGCATAGATGAAATATCTCAGCGGCATAAGTGTTGTCAAACCAGCCCCATTGTCAACTATTGAGGAAGGCCGTTTGACGGTTGAGTGATTAAAATATTAATATTGTATAAGTAATAACCGAACCAGGACTGTTACTATTTCAAATATGCTTCGGAACCGTTATGGCGTATCGTTATTGCTATATATGTTTCGAGCTATATTAGAAATAGTTCTTTGTTGGCATTCGTGATGTCACTTAAGTAAACTCTCTAAAGTATACACTTTCCGGCTGCCAATTTGGCATTCTGTCATATTTTGACAATCAAATTTTCCTTGTATTGACCACTATAATACCTCAAGGTACTCAGTGCTTTACAATTATATAAGTTAAAGGATTGTTTATCAGGTGTTATCACTGACATGACTTAATTCATCATTGCCACATATGTAATTATATGCATATGTTTATATAGGAACTGAAAAATGAATTACGCAGGTGCTACAGGATTACATCAAAGCGTCTACGATAGCTTCTTCGTAGATTCCTTTAGTAGCTCCTGGATTTCGCTCTTGTCTATATGGTGTCATCACCAATTTTGTAATCATTAAGTATATTGAGAGTGCCACATTGATAGTATAGTTATTTATTGACTAATTTATTCGCTAATTGCTAATTACTTCATGATTAAGGATTCGAATTCCATGGTTCGCCTCTAATTAATTCTTGTAAGAATGAGAGCAGGAGCAACTAGAGTTGATATTTGTCCATTGTATTACACTTATGGAATACCTAAACTGAATTACAAAATGTAGTACATTAAACGTTGAAATCACGCATAATGTTCCTTTCTGGTTATCTCATTATGTCTTAATTTACTGCAACATGGATATATATCCTGACAGATGTTGTTGCCTGGATTGACTAATGAAACCAAATGTTAGCGGTCTGTGACTACTATTTCACCACATCATCGATGACCCAGTGAAGAGACCAGGCTAAATGAACCACAACACAGACAACTACAGTACCACAATGTATCAAGTAATACTAGGACATCGATATCTGAATTACAATTGATTGATATTGAAAATATTGAAAATATTTTCGAGAAAGATGTGTTTTTCATTATATATCGGTAAACTTAAGTCCTCTCGTGAAAGCAATCTATCAAGAATATTTTGTCAATGATCGTGACTAGATCGTGGCTATTTGTGAAGTTCTCCTTCCCGTGTCAGAGTCTTCTCTGGAAACTGATTCCTTTTGGAAAAAACCCATGTGTTTATATCGGATAACAGGGAGGAGAATCAGAGACATATTTGACAGAACAAACATGGTAATGTATCTAGAACCCAGGATGTAGATAGTAGGCGTTCTCACAATGTGAACGGAAACAGCCGACACAGACTTCAACGTGTGCATAACATATATACGTTAATGATTTATGTCGTTCTGTTAGAAAAAAAATGTCAAAAGAAATCACCATCATTGTTTTACGTGATGTTTGGATACTATTATTGTTGCTAACGGGATTTCTGTGTCACGAGATACAGACACAGGAAGAAAGGTATTGTAGACTGATTAAAAACTGAAGCAGTTGTTGGTATGAATCGGTGGTTATAGTGCTCTTGTTTAACAGTGGAGACATATAATTAAATATTTCTATATAAGTTGATTATATAATTGTTTATCACTTTTCCAGGTGTTTAGAGACACAAATTTTGTCTGAACAAACATACATGCTTGTACTATTAGAGACTATGTTTTGTCTGCAGTGTATTTAAGTCACAGAGGTATACTGGAAGAAAATGTGCGTTTATCAGTGTAATATAAAATTGGCTACAACAGCCGCAAGGAAATGTATGATCAAACATCTATATGTAAACTGCAGTACATGATAGTTAAAAACATGTTTGTGCAAATAGTACACCCGTTCGCACTGAGATGTATACATTTTCATTAGTCAGCCAACTTTCATTCTGTTCTGTTCAATAATTGTTGATCTTGTGTTCATTTAAGTCCTGGCATCAATTATTCTGTTGCGGAAGAATACAAATGTACGTCCGGATATCGATGGCTAGCAGAGGAAAGGAAATGTGAAGGTAAATATGTGTTATCCGATATATGTGCAAATATGTTACAAATGTACAATACCATAGAAGTTCGTGTTACTAAATAATGAAATTGAATTTATACTCCTTTACACTTTTCCAAACATTTTGCTCTCAGTACTCAGCAATGGATCACTACAGTAAGTGGATTTCTTTGCATATGTTATTATTATAATAATCGTGAATCCGACTTGCTTTTAGTTTTAAGGATCAGTATCAGTTATAACGTCAACAGATAAATGGCGTCACATTAAAGCAAAAATGACAACCATTTAATATGACCGAGAGAAAATAGTATTTAGAAGAGAGATGAAAATAGTGTGGAACTCTCTCCACAGAAGCCTTAATTGGTTTTATTAGATACAACAGCCAATTATATTTGATCTCCTCACTAGGTTAATTAATGTTCTGCAACCACCCAAAGTGTTGTCGTTTTTTGAAAGTATATAACAATGCATTAATTAACCATTCAGAAGGTTGTTATATATCGATTTGCTATATAATTTTCAAAATAATACACTGTGTACATTGCAATGTTGCTTATATCTTTTTGCAGCATGTTCTTACTGGACTTACGGTGATTCGTGTAAACAAAAATGCAACTGTATCCCAGAAAATTCGCTGTTTTGTGATCACGTGACTGGAACTTGCCGATGTAAGTCTGGATGGAGAGGGAGAACATGTTCAAAACGACGAATAACACATCTAGGAAAACGTACGTTATTTATTTTTCATTGTCAATTTAGGAAAATTATATAGCATATGTTTATTAATTGTGATCATAAAATACAGTTTGTTCATATTTGCTAAGACGATAATGTCACCACTAATTAATGTATTCATTGGGAAATCATTAATGTTCACTCTGGTCGTCAATGTACACAGAGCGCGAATTCAGGATGGGATTATATAACTGTTTAATATAATCCCCAATGGGCTAAATGAACTTGAGACGAATTCATGTATTTCGATACAATAGCTAAAATAACCAGGGACGAAAATATATTCAGCTTATGTTTGGAAAAGTCAATTGTCTTTATATCGAAATATTTATCTATTCATATATTTATTCTTTTATATTCAGGAGAAGTTTCCCAGACAAACCTAACTGGAATAGGTAATGTATCTCTATTTGGACCATTCCATTGAGTGGGCAAACGCATGTTCATTTATGCAAGAAAGTACATTCTTATTTCCAGGAAATAGATATGTTTGAGGTCGGCTTGTTTTTGAGTTTTTAGTGTATGGTACTTAAATAGCAATCAGTTGTAATTTAAAAATCAGTAGAGAGATAGTATTGGAACATTGTAATAATGACAGCTAAGCGGAATAACGAAAGAATATGCAATGTCTTTTAATATGATATTTCTATAATTACAAGAAACAAAATTATGAGTTGACAATAGAATCGTTTTCTTTCATTGTTCCTTCATTAAAATCAAGAATTACCAAACCAAATCAATTCTAAATTTTCAGACTTCCAGCACTTTATTTCAGTTTGAAATAAGAGAAACTACACTTCTTAACAAAGCATCAACTAATTTAAATATTGTCTGAAGTAGCAGTAATTCAGATAAAATATCCTGTAATGGTACTAAGTGATATTGATCCTAAAGTTTACAAATGATTGTTTCAGCTCCCGCACAAATAATAATAGATGGTGGAGTAGGTATGTATAATTAGATATATGAATGTAGAAATATTAACTGTGATTTAATATTTATACACTGTGTCGGTGCATGGTTACTGATTACTGAAGCTTTGTATATAGAAGATATTTGATAGTTTCCCGTTTAATATCATAAGCATTTCACGGATATGATAAATATCAATATTTTTCACGAGTGCGAAGAAAAAGTGAATATTCACAAAATATTCTGTCATAAGAGTGAAATACATATCTAATGATAATGAAAATTTCGCATTGTACTACTTTCGAGTTGAATGAGTAACCAATGGGTTTAAAACAAAATTATAAAGTTGTGTTGTTGAATAATACATCTAAATAACCTACTGATCTTTACATGGTTATATAGTTTGCATAGTAAATTGTGATCTAACGATATTTCCAGGTGCCTTATGTAATCTATGTGATGCTACCAACACGGAAGCCTGCGGCCAAGATACTGGGTTTGCTTGTCAGTGTAAGATCGGGTATAGTGGCATGAATTGTGAAAGTTGTAAGTAAAATTTTTCGTGACATTGATAATATAAGGTATTTTGATGCGTCGAGTTATCAAAGTATTACTGAAGATATTTACTTTCAACACACGTGTTATCAACACACGTTATCAACTAACAACGGCAATATGCATACAAAACATAACCATGATAATGTTAACTATTTTCAAATTCAATTCTGAGGTTAATTTTACCATGTCAAAAGTGAGTTTCCTAAGTCACTTCATCCCATGAGATGTAAAATAATACACCTTTATCACCACTGTCCTAGACGAACGGATTGGCTCTATGAATATGATGCAATTCAGTTTATATTGTTGCTATGCTGTGTATGATTATGTTTTTGTAAGGTACACTTGGGGGAAATTTTGCATAAACAATTGATTTTCCAATGAAAGGATTCTACATAAACGTAAGCGCGTTAGGTCGTTGCTAATAGTTATCGCCTACTTTATGAATGTGTTATACATCCATTTAGTATTTCATATATCAATTGTCTTATATTATGCAAGAAAAACGATAGAAAATGACAATAAGCCCACGGAAACTCAAAATTTATCAAACCTATGGTAAATATGATGAATATTTGAATTTACATGGAGACTCAGGAATGTTCCAGAAGAGTAAGCGCCTTCTACTCTATCGGCGATACCCGCCATTTGAAATTTAGTCAGGCCAAGTAAGTAATGTCACGTTCCCAAATGAGAACAGTTAAACAACGAACAGGTATACTAACGAACATCCAACACGTCCAGCTTCATATTACATCAGGAAAAATAATGTTTTCCAGTGAGATTTTTACGACGACTATAAGAATGTATCGTCAATTGTATCACTGTGACACCATCAAATGTTAGTTAAGTTTCTTTAAAGTGTTTGGTTTTCAGCATGTAGCGCCTGGAAATACGGGGCTGGTTGTGGAAGTGATTGTACATGTGTACAGGCTAATGCTGTGTCCTGTAACAACATTAATGGTACCTGTACCTGTAAGCCAGGTTATATAGGGCTTAACTGTGAAACTGGTACGTATGTTTAGTGACTTTTCTTCTTTACAATCCTTGGAGCTTACATGTTGTAATCACTGATTTGGACTTAAATTTTCTGAATGCCAAGTTTAAAATCATTTTGTTAGTGGCACAGTTTAGTCAAATCTGACATCCATTTTTGAAAAGATTCATTATGGAAATTTAGGTTTCAGTTCACCTTCACATCCGATTCTATTACATATTTATTTCAACCAATTCTGATTTCCCTCAGCCGCCTCTTATGCTTTCACAGTTAAGGCTACTGACATGTCTGGCAAGTCCTAAAAGGACGAAGCAGGTGTAAATGTGCATTTTTGCGGATCAATGGCCTGGATGGAAGACAAAAGCTACATGATGCAGCTATATTTTTACGTTTTGTCTTCTGTTTCTATTTCATAATTGATATTGAAAGGTGCTGTTCACTTGTGTGTGTTTTATGAAGTTGTTAAATATATACTGAATGGTTTGCAGCTTGTTCTAATAACACCTTTGGCGCGAGCTGTGAACAAACTTGTCTCTGTGATCCCAATAACACCCTCACGTGTGACAATGTGAATGGAACATGTACATGTGCAACAAATTATGCAGGCCCGACCTGTAATGAGAGTAAGTACATTTATAGTAGATTCATTTGTTTAAATTCATATCCGTTACCCTTACCACAAAATCGTAAGTGTACTATAGTCAGTAACTCCAGCTGCCTTACTCCACCTTGTTTAAATCTTACAGAATAAAACCAACTAACATTGTCGTTAGCTTTGATGGAACCTTCATTAGCGTTTTTATCAAAATATGACGGTACCGTATCTCAATCTTTTGGAGGGATTAACATTTGTTTTCTTTTTTAGACGTCATATTGATTTATTGACTGTTTTGTTTACCCTTCATGCACCTACTGTAAATAATATTTTCATGGGGCTGAAATTTCGCGGTTTTCCAAAAATATACAATTATGGATTTTGGACACAAAATCCACTAGCACTATGATCAATGTTAACCTTTATCTATAATTTCGTGGACCTATAAATTCATTGAAATAAAGGACCCGATAACATAATGAAATAAATTCTCCTCGAAAATTATTGATTTTACTGTAATGTTATATGACATTCCTTAGGTGAACTTATCACGTCATCCAGTTCACCGAAACAGATACTGAGAGTTTCGATTTTTATTGACTGGAATGCGACATCTCATACTCAATATTTTGTATGAATTTACGTCCGAATCTTCATTCTGTCATCTACAATTAATATTTCAAATTATGTGGAATAATTTTCTTATTTCAAACATCACGAAAACACACTACTATATGTAGAGACTAAACATGGGTACAATATTTTATATATCGCAGCAAGGATCACTTTAACCAATCACGTGCTAACTGACTAACATCCACACATGTTTTATTTCTTTACGCAGCTTGCCCACTTTGGACTTACGGGCAACAATGTACAAATTGCTCGTGCGACAGAAATAACACCGACACGTGCCACTACAATGGGACGTGTTCATGTAAACCTGGATATAATGGAACAAACTGCTCTCAGGGTAAACAGTAAATGAACTCTTACACAGCTTTAATAACCCCATATCTATATATCTTTACACAATATATAATGTACATATTGATGTGTTGACTCAGTATTACAGTAATGAACACAGTATTTACATGCTTAGCGTTCGAGATATCGGTAGTCTTACGTCTGGTCATTTTGACGTTCTAGAAATATATCCTTCCTCTTTTTAAACAATCAAGTTAATCTCATCAAAGTGTCAGTGGGAAATAACGTTGTAATATTGCTTCAAGGTATTTATGTCGTTCCTTTATCTTTTATAGCGTGTAATACTGGTTTCTACGGAACCGGATGTGCATCTCAATGCGCCTGTCATGCTAACAATTCTATTTCCTGTGATCACGTGACTGGATATTGCACATGTACTGCGGGATACAGCCAGCCTCTTTGTGCAACTGGTAAAATTTTCCAGATTTTCTTTCCCTTTGCCTGTCAAAAAACCTTTTGCAGTAACATATATCAAAATCTCCAGTCATTTTTGGACTCAATTATGCGACTTTTGAAAAATAGAAATGTCCCTCTGTTGATTTAGTGAGCGCAAAATAAAATATTTCAAATTTCACATCCATACCTAAAACAAAAAAAAACATAATATTTCATAGAGACAAAAAATTCATGATAGAATTTTCGTCCTTTATTTCCAGTGTGTGAGTTTTTGAAATACGGTGATCAATGTTCACAATCGTGTTCCTGTCCGCTAAACGCTTACCAAGTGTGCAATCACGTGACGGGTGTATGTACGTGTAAACCAGGCTATGTTGGTGACACGTGTAATACTGGTGAGTCAATTGTAAATAATACAAAACAAGCATGAATACTTCCCTGTCTTTAGCAATAGAGCATTTTATAGCATTTGGCTATAATGCTATAATATAAGTAAGATATATAAGGCTATAATATATAAGGCTATAAGATATGTAAGATATATAAGGCTATAATATAAGTAAGATGCCAAGCTATTCGTATTTCAATTTTTCCTTTTTTTTTTTTTTTTTTTTACTGTTCATAGTATCATATATACCTTCTTTACATTCCTCATTACAATATAAGCATGTGCTACCGAAACCTCGTCCACAAGTTTTGATTTTTCTCAGTTGACTCTTAGGGCCTCTAGCTTCACTGACAAATTCTGGAAAAGATGACACAGCTGAATGATTCTTCATTGTTTGGCTCTACTGAATCTAATTTTAAATCTATATTGAAATGAGTCCTTTAAATAGAATTATCTCAGTACTCTACCCAATACAAATACTATTACAATGGAAAACAAATCAATATAAAAAAAATGTTTTTTTTAAGTTTGATGTCAATATTTACTTGAGATTGAAAGCATTTGCTGGAAAAATAACAATCTTGGTATGTGAAATATTGATCTTTTATTATTTTACAGAATGTTCAGAAAACACCTTTGGGGCAAACTGTGTAGGGCTTTGTGATTGTGCAGCTGGTCAGACATCTCTTTGTGACAAAACGACAGGTGTATGTGTGTGTAACAGTGGCTGGGAGGGAACTAGGTGTGACGAAGGTAAGAGTTATACAAAGTGACAGGTGTATGTGTGTAACAGTGGCTAGGAGGGCACAAGGTGTGATATAAGTGAGTGTTATACAATGTGGCAGATGTCTGTGTGTGTGAGGGTGTATGCGTGGGCAACAATGGCTGGGAGGGTACCAGGTGTGACACAATAAATGTTACACAAAGTGACAGGTGTATAGTTTACAAAACTGGCACTGGAGGACACCAGTTGTGACACCGGTATAATACTGGTTGAAAACAAAATCTTGAACAGCACGTCGGGTTTCAATGTGTGCAACAGATGCTAGATAGATGCGAACATAGGTGTGATGCAGGTCTGCACAAAATGAAAGCGTTTTTGTCGACAACTTTGGCTAGGATTAGTCAAGGTCATGTGCTGGAACGGTGTCCTGGAGAGCATCAAGTGTGATACTTGTGTATTTCAAGTGAGATACAGGCGATTGTTACTAACTTTACTTAGTGTTACGATGAGGATACCGGTAGTAATACCAGCAAGACAGCGCTACAAACCTTGGCAGGAACAAGGTTATTTACGAAAACTCGTCATTATATTTGGTGACATGAAATAAGGAACACAAAAGTGTTAAATCTTTGTCTATTTACTACCTCAGCAAAAGTTGAAATCTGCAATAAATCAATACTTTGAAGAGTAAATAATTGGTTGATCTGAATATTTAACAAATTCATCCCTAGAGCTATAGTAGTAAGTAGTAACCTTTGTTACTATACTTACGCTACATAGGTAGCATATTCCAGTAAACGAAAAATGTCGAGCAACAAAATAGTTTCTTAGGGTTAAGATATCACATTTATCGTATGACTTGATTGAAACTGATTTGAAGAGCTTTGGACAACCATTCAATGCCAAGTGATTACAATTTATTACCTGAGAACACCAGATCAGTTGTCTGCAATTCTTTTAATATCTTTTATTGTTTAGGAATATTTTCATCGGGTTGGCAATGTCAATTCAGTAGAAGTTCTTATAACACAACCAGTAGATTTGAGTGTGCCGTTTCAATAACTACACGGTCACCTTCATCAGAACAAAAAAATATTCGTTATTGTTTTTACAACAGTGTATTTCCATGGAAAACCAATTGTAATGACTTAATGTGAGCTTTCCACTCTCAGAGTCGAATTCTGTCGCACCTGACCAGCTCAAATAACACTTGCATGACGCATATCGTTTATTGAACACACGACTTATTGATGTCGATATTTTGTCACCAAATTCTATAAAGGCATGTTATATTTCTTACGTAAACGAACACCGAGGTATTGCCAACGATAATATAAACATATAAACATCTCTTTCCTAGTGAGTGCCTTTTCACTGCTTGACTATCCAGCCCTGGTTGCTGGTCTTGGGTTCCTGGCCGCGGTGGTCCTCGTGGCAATTATCGTATTAATTCTGTGGTGCGCTTGCAGGTAAATTTCTCCACATTTTCATGTCTGTATTTGCTGTCTCTAGGTTTGTATTAGTTTTATTTCTTACTTTGTTGTCATTTGACCTTGACCATGACCTTTGACCTACATTCGAATAAAATAGCATTGGCCATAACTGTTGCTCAATAAGATGTAGGACTTTCATATTTGACATGTGTGTTTTTTGTTGCAAATCCTTTCCAATGGTTCCAATTTTTTTTCACCATGTGACCTGACCGTGACCTTTGACCTGCATTTGAATGTAAAAAAAAAATTAATTACCTCATAAAGACATAGGTGATTCACAAAGTGTGCATGTAATTAGCACATGCCTTACACAGCTCAGTTTTAATGTCCAACTTAAGTATTCGTTGCATCTGTTTCATAAACACATTTTGATTAATTTACAAAGGGTAGGCGATTCATTTGAGTATTATTCCTTTCTGAGTAATCATTCATTCTATGCACATAAATATCGAAAAAAAAATCATGTTTTAATCCTCATTCAGCTATGCGTGAGTAACACCATAGTTAAAATACGACGAGTTAGGAATGTGTAAGGTTTAAAATAGCTTAGTTAATATCGCTAGAAATTAGAATAGAAAATAGAAACTAAAGTAATATGTTTAACATAGTGTGATCGAGGGACGGTCCCCTGATGATTAAGAGTCGTCAGTACAACTTTCTTCACGCATCCAACTGTCTATTGTCGAATAAATATATCGTCTGTTAATTCATATTAGCCTAACTGTAATATTAAGTTCGTAGTTAGGCAGAGCTGAACATTTTGTGTACACCCTGTTAACAGGATGGTTGTAAGCTCCGCGGTGAGTTGAGAAAGATTAGAAAAATTGAACCGCTTTGTGACAGTTTTTGTTGTTTTTTATCAAGCGGTTTATAAAAAAAATCTTCGAATTCTTATAATTACTGAATTCTTATAATTACGTTTATCATTACTACAATTAATACCTGGTTTTATTAATTTGAATTAAGATGTTCCTGTCGAGAGCTAAAATCTCGGTCACGAAGGAAAAAAGATTTTATTGAACTGACTGATGGGCCTATAACTGCTACAGCCCCAACAGGTAAGTATCGGGGACATCAAATCTTCAGATACATCAGAGAATGTGTAAAGTGAGAGATCGATAATTACAATATCTGTAGTATCGCTATCGAAATCATGTTTAGAATTGCGTATGTATGATATTGATAAAATCATACAGATTTGTTAAGTCTATTGTGATTTTAAGAATTAATAAAGTTATCTTGAAGTCAACGTCAATGTAATTACACAAAGATCGTGAATAAGATTTCTATAAAGATACATTTTTTATTATACCCTAAAAACTACAAAATAAGGCGACCACAAATAAGCCTCTCCTGAAAATAAGCCTGTCGTTGGTAACAAAATACAAAAAAAAATATTTTCTTATTACTAAAGGAAATAAGCCACGTCTATTTTTCTATTTTAGGGTATTGATATGAATAGTATAGCTTTGTTATTTGATCACGAATCATAATAACAACCGATGGTTTTAAGAATGGACAATAAAAATTGCTGACCAATTAAATTTACAGGAGGACTTTCATCATCAACAGCACCAACGCCAATCAAGACTCCTGGGGATAAAGGAATACAGAACGATAATGACGGGGTATACTATGGTCGGGATGTATTAGATAAATCGTCCAAACCTACAGGACAAGATCCACCGGTGGCGCCACCTGTTGCTACTGGTGGTGACGAGTACTATTACGCAGATGGCATTGCTGCTGCTGCTGCGGCGGCGGCTGCTGCTGCTGGGAAAGGAAAAGGCGGAAAAGATTTCAACCCACAGAAAGATGTTCCAGTGGCATCTACTACCGTGTATCAAAACTTGGAGTCAAAATCCGGAACATCAAGTCCACGACCCAAACACAGTGCGATAAAAACACCCCTTCCTCTTCTGCCTGGAGCCAAGACTACTACACAGCCAGTTTACGGCAATACTGGTGTCGAACTGCAGGACGATTACGCTAACTCAGACGCAAGAGTTGTGTCGGAAACTTATGCTAATTTGAATTAAAACGCAAACCCAAATAAAGATTTGACGTTACATTTAGGCATCGTGGCGTAGAGCAAAAACCAATTCAGTCCTGCGTTTAAATCACTTTCTGTAAAATTGTTTTATTTTTTCTCAACTCTAGAAATAGACATTATATAATCAAATGAATTTAGATGTATATTTTTTTTTATGAAACTTACAGAGCGAAGTATTCAAATATTTATCACATAATCCGCCTGTTATCCTGTGCATTATCCCACGTAATATCTCTTTGTGACTGCTGTCATATACCCTTGAACGTTTTTCATTCGCTGTACCAGTAAGAAATAAATTGTGATGTCATGATGTCATGATGTCATAATGTCATGATGTCATAATTCAGACAATGATGTTACGTTATGAATTGAAAATGACAGAACGGCTGTTCCATCCTTTTAATTTTTGTGAGCCTTACATAAACTTTGTTCTGTTGCAAATATCAATTTTGATGTCATGATGTCATGATGTCATAATGTCATGATGTCATAATTCAGACAATGATGTTACGTTATGAATTGAAAATGACAGAACGGCTGTTCCATCCATCCTTGCAAATATCAATTTTGTTTCAATAATTCAATATAGTTACTTTATTAAAAAAAGGATTATGACAATGATGGGTGAGTGTCACTTAAGTCATTTATATTGCTCCTGGCGAATAGCTAGAGGGTAGGGCAGAGAAATTCATTAATAGAGGAGGTTATTACTGATTGTCTAACCTGATGCTTTACCGAGTGTATGGCAATCAGGTATCTCCTTCGAGAGTAGAGATTTCTCTGTCATACCCTAAAGGTAGGGAATTATCCTTTTTCTAGCCCCTTTTCCCCTTAAAATGAATAAACAAATGAATATACGTGTGACATGGGTATAGTAATTTGCGTTTGAGGCACGGATGACGATTGTTAATGACGTCGATGACCCCATCCGACCTCGACACGTCATTAAAATGACGACATTATCAATAGCACGAACCCGGAATGTCACTTCCTGTGCGTGCGCGCGGTCTTGCCTGGGTAACATAGAGATATCTTGCCCTCACCGGAAGTATAGATTTTTCTGTCCGGTAGGGTAGAAATTATCATCTACTGTCAGTTGTTAATTATATTGACATATCGTTAGTTTCGTTATTGTTGATGGTCAGTATCTTTATGGTCAGTATCATGTGACTGACTGTCCTTATCGATTGACAGCATATTATGCTAGGTGTATCTTAGGATGTATTAGGCGATCATTGTCTTATGAAGGTATTCCGTATATCTATAGCCAGTATATTGATTAAGACGGTTAGTATATAATATGATATTACATTTTGCCAGCGTCTTATGATATATATGGTTAGTAGCTAATTTAGAATGCGTGTTCAATATCTGTTACGGTTCGTGTATTTATGGTCAGGAAGTCATCAGTATCTTTTGGTATATGATCCATACCCCATGATATGTAGTCAGTGTCTTGAGATATGTAGTCAGTGTCTTGAGATATGTAGTCAGTGTCTTGAGATATGTAGTCAGTGTCTTGAGATATGTAGTCAGTGTCTTGAGATATGTAGTCAGTGTCTTGAGATATATAGTCAGTGTCTTGAGATATGTAGTCAGTGTCTTGAGATATGTAGTCAGTGTCTTATGATATGTAGTCAGTGTCTTGAGATATGTAGTCAGTGTCTTGAGATATGTAGTCAGTGTCTTGAGATATGTAGTCAGTGTCTTGAGATATGTAGTCAGTGTCTTGAGATATGTAGTCAGTGTCTTGAGATATGTAGTCAGTGTCTTGAGATATGTAGTCAGTGTCTTGAGATATGTAGCCAGTGTCTTGTGATATGTAGTCAGTGTCTTGAGATATGTAGTCAGTGTCTTGAGATATGTAGTCAGTGTCTTATGATATGTAGTCAGTGTCTTGAGATATGTAGTCAGTGTCTTGAGATATGTGAGATATGTAGTCAGTGTATTGAGATATGTAGTCAGTGTATTGAGATATGTAGTCAGTGTATTGAGATATGTAGTCAGTGTCTTGAGATATGTAGTCAGTGTCTTGAGATATGTAGTCAGTGTCTTGAGATATGTAGTCAGTGTCTTGAGATATGTAGTCAGTGTCTTGAGATATGTAGCCAGTGTCTTGTGATATGTAGTCAGTGTCTTGAGATATAGAGTATGATGATATGTAGTCAGTGTGTCTTCAGATGTAGTCAGTGTATTGAGATATGTAGTCAGTGTATTGAGATATGTAGTCAGTGTCTTGAGATATGTAGTCAGTGTCTTGAGATATGTAGTCAGTGTCTTGTGATATGTAGTCAGTGTCTTGAGATATGTAGTCAGTGTCTTGAGATATAGTAGTCAGTGTCTTGAGATATGTAGTCAGTGTCTTGAGATATGTAGTCAGTGTCTTAAGATATGTAGTCAGTGTCTTGAGATATGTAGTCAGTGTCTTGAGATATGTAGTCAGTGTCTTATGATATGTAGTCAGTGTCTTGAGATATGTAGTCAGTGTCTTGAGATATGTAGTCAGTGTCTTATGATATGTAGTCAGTGTATTGAGATATGTAGTCAGTGTATTGAGATATGTAGTCAGTGTCTTGAGATATGTAGTCAGTGTCTTGAGATATGTAGTCAGTGCCTTATGATATGTAGTCAGTGTATTGAGATATGTAGTCAGTGTATTGAGATATGTAGTCAGTGTCTTGAGATATGTAGTCAGTGTATTGAGATATGTAGTCAGTGTCTTGTGATATGTAGTCAGTGTATTGAGATATGTAGTCAGTGTCTTGTGATATGTAGTCAGTGTCTTGAGATATGTAGTCAGTGTCTTGAGATATGTAGTCAGTGTCTTATGATATGTAGTCAGTGTCTTATGATATGTAGTCAGTGTCTTGAGATATGTAGTCAGTGTCTTGAGATATGTAGTCAGTGTCTTGAGATATGTAGTCAGTGTCTTGTGATATGCAATCCGCACCTTATTATAAGTGATCATTATTGTATAAATATTAATTTGCATTTTTATACCAGAATATTACCAATAACGACAAGAAATGTAACCTAATGAATGCATTATGTCATGTTAGAACCAACTTCGGTTCAGTCCTGATTTGTTGTGCATGTATTGACAGTAATTACTATGGCATTGTTCTCTGTCAAAACGATTTTCTTTACTTATCTATTCAAATAATGATTTCCCATTTTAATTGTAAATGGTTTTATTGATTATATACAGTGAGTTTTAACAAATCTACGTCCTCGATATAGTCTGCGTATTAAGAAATGTGTCAGTAATTACTGAAACTAATTAGGAGACAGAGAAATATTCTTTATCACTGAAAGTCTCATGAATCAAATTATTTCTGATGATGATATATTATAAGGTTTTTTTTTCAAATATGATTTTTAGAAACGTCCGTGCAGACACCATTTTATTGTTTATCGGTGTGTAAACTTTGCGTACTGACACTAAACATACGGACGTTCGTAGGATACATATCATTTAGGTATCGCCACATGTCATATTTAGAACAACAAAGAAATAAAGAAATATTCTGGTATAGATTAGTCGCCTTCTCTACGATATTCTTTTTTATTTTTTTTTATCATTTGAAAACTTTTTGGGGTGGGGCTGGAGACATGAAACAGATATCAGAATCAGTTAAACGTTATCAGGTCGTGTAGGAAACAGGTATCGCCCTGGTGATATATGTATCAGAGCGGATGTCACAGTCAATCAGAGTTACCTACCTTGGTGTTGGGAAATATAGATTAACTGGTGTATGATTAAAAAGGTATCAAATCGCACTGTCTGTAATTTGTTATTGACTCAAGTCCGTCCGTATGCAGATAGAAATCAAAGTTTTGATCTGTTGGCATTTCTGTTCCATATTTTCCGTAGATACGACAGAGTCCCATTTTGGACACATCCACAAACAACATGGCTGGGGAACTGTTGAAAAACCCTCCAGGAAATGCTGCCATGTACTGTGTACCGTTCGATAACATATCTATCTGGTTGTCCTTGCAGTTGAGGTTAGACGACGTTGGGAGTCCCATCAGGAAATGAGTATCTATCACTTTATATCCGTCTTCATCAAACACCGTTGTAGTGATAACTAAAACTCCACCGTGATCTTGCAAATTGGATAAGCCAAGTGGGGTTTCTTTATATGAGATGTCCTAACAATAAACAGTATATTACTTTAGATACTATACAAACACCTGTTTGGATACATAAACTATTTATGGGGAATGCATTATAGGGTAACAGATGTCCATTTGCGTTCAAACTGTACATGCGTATTATGAAGTCTTAAAAGACAAGTTTGATGTCTTAAAATCTAGTGGTTCGATCTCAAAATGAAAACCTTTGTTTATGAATTGAATTACTAAACAATTTTGTTCCTATCACGAATAATCTACAATATTCATGTTTAGTTATATAGTTACGATTTACCCTTGATTGTATTTGTTACTTCCATCTAAAGCTGACCTCTCTCCTTCCATAGCTGTCCTTATTCCATATAGAGCTGACCTCTCCATCCATACCTGTCCTCCCTACATCTATAGCTCTCCTCCGTCCATCAATATATGGCACTATATTGTGGAATTCCCTCAACATTTTCTGTACATGTGCAGTGAACTCCCTTCCCTGACATCCCCTACACCACGCCGCGTTTCCCTCCATCCAACCGTAGTTGTCCTCCCTCCACTCATAGGTGTCCTTACTGTATTTAGAGCTGATAATCATCCTCCATAGCTTGCATCCTGAGCAGATCGCCCTCCATCAAGAACAAGTATGCAACCAGCGACCAGTCTTTGTCAAGGGATGCTATTATACATACAACATGTTTACACATACAATTGAAAATCAAACTGTGTTCCGGTTATACAACTAATTGAAATTCTACCTGTGCCCTAGATATACAACCATCTGTCAAATTGCTCGCATTTTACAGTGTCGCTCACAGAAAACATAAGAATTTAGACTCAATGAAGACGAAAAGGTCGTAAAGCGTGGCGTTATCCCTCATGTCCTGGTGTTGATAGTGACATCACAAGATATATATAGATCTACTTTACCATTTTATGTAGAATATCCGTGTCGTTCTTTGTTGATATTTAAATGGTAGCCGGAAATTCGTACAATCAGTAAATTTTGTATTTCTCACTTGACAATCTAGTTGTCAACACGAAATTATCCCGTCTTACTGTGTCTACAAGACTTATCCCTCAAAACTTCACTCAGTCAAAGTCATTGTACACCATCATCGGTTTAGTGTTATGGTCGTGATCTACAATATACCTGTCACGTGTTAGATGTTTTATTATATGGTTTAGTAATAGATTGGAAGATCAAAATGAAAACACAATGGTTCTGAAGCATAGTTTGTGTTACGTTTAATGTGTTTTGAGACATTTAACATGGATGCAAAATTCAAACACGTAACTCCTCCGTGAATTGAGATATTTGATTATATCAATTCTATAAAGCAAGTCTGTCTGTCCGTCTGTCTGCACTTTTTCTATCTATGTAGCCATTTCTTCAGACGGTTGTCGTTACTTCGCGTTTAGTCCCTGGAAGCGGGAGGTTGACTCTGAATCGGTATCCGTGATGTCATCGTTGTTAGAGTCTTTAAGAAAAAAATGATAAGAATCACTGATGAAGGGAAGTCATGAAGTAGATACAAGTAACATAAAAGGCAGTTTCTCATTAGGCCTGGCTCTTTGACTGTATTATCTGAATCAATGTTTGACAAAGTCTCAATTGGCAGTACAATGTTATAAACTTATCGGGATTGATCATTAGGAAAACTGCCTCTTGATCAGTGTCCATTTTATTCATTTCGCAATAGTGACAGAATTTACATAATGTATTCATTCGTATTCTTGCATACAAGTGTACGTAAGATGATAATATAAACAAACCTTTTGCTGCCTCCTCCTCCTCCACACAGCTAAAGCAGTGTACAGAAACGGATTGATGGCAGCATTGATTGGCAGCACAAACACCATCACCCAGGCATACACTCCATCTGGGATTTCTACTCCACACTTTGACGCCACCCCTGGATCAAGTAATGTTAACATAAAGATATCGAAAGTTCATATTACATTCTTGAGCTTTCATGTAACCAATGTTTTGTCCTGAAGTTAACTTTAACGGGTTTTCATTTGATATATAGTTCAAACATGTTGTATATAGATCAAGTACACTTACCTGTCATGCATTTCAATGGGCGATAAATTTCCAAAAAGTAATAAACAGGAGACAAATGATTTCGGAGACTTACCCATGACACCAATAGGAAACCAGCAGCAGAAGTCTGTCATCACCACAAAGAACAGAGTCCTAACAACTGCCATCTCTCTTTGACGATTCTGTGGCAAGGAAATGCGTCGACCACTTTCCCTTACACTTTTGCAAATAGAAATTTGACCTATGACTATAACAAGAAAGACGGCACTATTGAGACAAACAAACACTGCAAAAGAATACTGAGTTCCCGGTCGCTCTTCTCCTGTGAGAGGAAGGGCGAGACAAACACTTGACTGGGAGTAGAACTGTCCTTTGAAGTAAACAATGGGAATTATCGCAAGTGTTACTGAAACAATCCACAAGAACACGGAGACAACTAGTGACTGTATCCATGAGAAGCTCCACCTGGAGAGTCGGGACAGGGGAAACAAGATGACAATAAGTCTGTCTACAGTCACCAGTAAAATCAGAAAAGTCGACATCTCACTTGATACACTAGACAAGACACCTGCTGTGGTACATAAAATACTACTTCTCCAGTCTTGGTCATTCCAAGCATAGATGCCGTTGTAATGCGCATCGACTACACCTATTATAAATAGGTAAATACCCATTAGTAAATCAGACATGGCTAAATTTAGCGTGAACAGAGAATAACTCTTTGTTATGTTATCTCTGTCCATGAAACATCTGTAGAATAAGACGACTACGTTGCCGATCAAGGCAGATATTCCAATGATCCAAAGACATGCTCTAAGTACAGTCGAACTTATCAAGGCGTAACATGACGATATCGCATCGCCTTCTGATTTACACTTATCAGGGTTCCTGACACAAAACCATAATGGATGATGTGTTTCAACACAGCTGTCCTCATCAACAGACGGAGGCTTAGCGCAACACATAAATGGAGTATCTGTATAAATCTTAGACAGGTTATCCAAACCTTCGAAAATATTTTGAACTACTTTCAATTTGTTACCTATAATATTTAATTCCGATAGACTACTAGGTAAATATGGTAGGTGTGTCAGTAAATTGTTTGCCAAATCTAGGTGTTTAAGGCTGGAACCCATTCCAGATCGAACATAAGACCCATTATCTGGTTGATGATTCACAGTGAACACATCGTTAGAAATAAATGCAATTTTGTTGTTTTGCAAATTAAGTCTTACAAGTTTAGACAAATTACCGAATACATTATGAGATAGAACCGAAATGTTATTGTTTGACAAATGGAGATAGGTAAGACTTGACAGCCCTCTAAATACATTAAAGGGTAGTTCAGTGATGGTGTTGTAAGGAAGAGAAAGAATGGTAAGTCTGGACAGTTCACTAAATACGTTGAAAGGGAGAACAGTTAAGCGATTTTTTTCCAGATAGAGATGGGTAAGTACAGACAGTTGACTGAAAACATTGTACGGTAGTGCATTGATGGTGTTGCTGGAAAGAGATAGAATATTCAGATTGGTGAGGCTACTGTATACGTCGGAAGGTAGAACAGTTATCCGGTTATTTTTCATATGGAGATGGGTAAGTGCAGACAGATCTCTGAAAACATTGTGGGGCAATACTTCAATGTTATTATGGGATAGAGAGAGGTGGGTAAGTTTAGACAACCCGTTAAATACATTGTGATGCAGATCATTTATATTGTTGTAATTCAGATAAAGATGAGTAAGCTTAGAAAGTCCACTAAATACATTGTATGGTAGTTCTTTAATCTTATTGTTCTTCAAGGACAGAAGAGTAAGTTCGGACAGATCACTAAATATATTGTAGGGAAGAACATTAATATTGTTGTAGATTAGATGGAGACGACTCAGTTTATAAAGTCCACTAAACACTTTGTTATGTAGGTCAGTTATGCTATTGTGAGCCAAATTGAGATGTGTAAGCTTCGAAAGTTCACTAAATACGTTGTTGGGTAGCACAGTGATGCTGTTATGAGACAGAGAAAGGTGACTAAGTTTTTTCAATCCACTAAATATGTTGTAATGAAGATCAGATATGTTATTGTAAGCCAAATACAGACGAGTTAGTTCAGGAAGCTCACTAAATATGTTCAAGGGTAGTACATTTATATCATTGTTCTTAAGAGAGAGAACGGAAAGTTTGGACAATCCATTAAAAACGTCAAATGGAAGAGCAGTTAATTGATTTGTGGACAAATAGAGATGGGATAGTTCAGAAAGTCCACTAAACACGTTGTGTGGGAGTATTTCTAAGTTACGTTTGCGCAGGTCCAAATCGATATGAAGAGAAGATTGATTTGCAGACGAGCAGATGTAGGACTCTGTGCAGTTGTATGGTTCTAAAAAACAGAAAAAAAGAAAAACAATAAGCAAGGTCTTTGATTGTCCTATATCTACATATAGAGTGTTGTCTATGAAGCAAAAGGCGCATTCACCTCCGAAACACTTGGTCTTATCAATCTCGTTTTTTTCTGGTTATAACAATTGCAGCATAGTTAAAACTTCGCTGATATCTCAGTACTTTCGTAGATTATTATACAATGTATTCAAGTGTTCAAGGTGTAGCAAAACGTTTGAAGTAAAAAGATGCATATTTCATTGAAATCATGTAACAAACTTAATTCGTAATCGATTTTATTTATAATATTTTCCATTCATTTTATCATCGTTTTTTTCAAAATGTGAAAATGATACATAGTGGACGATGATGGACGGTATTTGGTAAAGAACGTATTTAAAGTTTCGGGACTGATGACCAGACAGACTACACGTAATTATTTACGTGACATACATACCACAGACGACTCCTGTTTCTTGTTCCGGACAGTAAACACAACATTCGTATTTCTCAAGTTGACGAAATCTTTCTGGTGCACATGAGTACAGCTGATGACTCCCTAAAAGGATAAAACTAAATTCACTTTAGTACTCCTTTTATGGAAAATACCAAAACTCCATATTTGACCTTTAAATCGTTTGGTGTGTAATTAGATGCTATACACATTAGTTATATTTGTTTGGGAGTTCAAGTTAAGCGTACACCATTGCATTTCCAATGCGATCAAATCCAGTCCTTTTGAGTAAGAAAAGTTTAACATGTTCACAAACACCCACATAACATAATGTTTATCTCCTACGTTAGAATGACATGTATAATTAGAAAATTCTTTGCAATTAAAACCACTCACCAAATGCTGCTTATATATAGCATAAACATTAATTCGAGGTTCTTATATATCGCTTTACAGCCTTATATCAGTCAATGCTGTTCACTATCAACAATGGTCATCAGGCCTTTTTGATGATAATGTTAATCCGATAATTATACATTGACTGAACGACACTGTTACTGGTATACGAAAAGCATTCTGATCACATTCCGACACAGATTTAGAAGCGTCCAGAGTGAAATGTATGGTTGACTGTTAAATCGTCGTACATCTCTTTACTAGTCAGGCTACTGACAAAAAACCGAATTTCAGATTTTCCAGGAATCCTCTTTTTGAAAGAAATCATCTGTGGCCTTCTTTTAAGCAAGTATGAAAAATAGACCGTTTCTGAAGTCTGTTAACAGTACTTTTCTCAAACGTAAGTGTTGTTTTACATGAATTTGGCCTGCATTTTTCAACACAAAAGAAACGTTTCTCCAGAAATAGTGTGATATGTGGTATCAAAATCTCAGTTGGTACAATGTGCACACATTAATGACATAATTTTATTGGAATTGCCTCATAATAATGCACTAGAACGAATTATATAATAACTACTTTATCACCCACCAAGGTGTTAGTCAAGGAGCTCCCATTTTATAAGAAATCAATTCCGAGACTAACTTTTCCGTATTTAAGCTTCTGATACCTATATCTGTTTATGGTTATCATATTTTGAAATTCTAAGTGGGGGCCGATTCTAATGTTAAATTCTCATACATGTTGACCTCACCTCTAATTTAACATGGTTTTCATTGTAAGATTTGGCTTTCATTAGTTTTGTTTGTCAATATTTGGTGTTGTATGTAAAACAAATTGAAGAAGTTTCAGTTTCCATTGATATTTCATTGCAAATTTTATAGATATTGGTTCAGACTCTAATGGGTGATCCATCTGCCTGAGCTGCCTTTTTGATAAGGGCGTGCCACTTAACATTGTCTGACTAGAATATATACACGTTTACATTTCGTGTCGTATTTGCCTACATGTCATTAGCAGATCACATTATAACCAATATATTACAAATTATCCTGCAATTGGCAATACCGTTGTCGGTATACATTTACCACATATATTTTGCCTTTTGCGGCAGCGACAAAAAGTCTATTTTAGCATTTGCATTAATTCGCAAGAAATGCTTTCTGATTTTCTTTAATATTACAGTTTAAAAATATAGATGATTTTTAATCGTTGGAACTGTATTACCGCGAGAAGCGATTTTCTGGACGTACGTCATTTGACCTAATTCAGCCAATTCGTTAACGTCAGGTCACTTTGATTGAACAACAAACTGTTGAAGTTTAAATAGTCTCAAATGTTAATGGTTAATGCAGAAAAGATAGCATACATGATTAGTCTCATCAAATATAAGATGTGGTCTGGTGAAGGCGAAGAAAAATAAATTAGCTTTATTCAGCTTTAACATGTGACTAAACGCATTCATTATCAAAAATGTGATTTGCCGCAAAAAAAATCTTTCACATCATAATATGCAGCATTATCGAGAATTTGTACATCGTTCTGACAGTCCACAAGAGGAATCCGTTATAAATAGCGTGAACGTGGTCTCTGTCGCTTATTGACAGAAGCCATTTCCATTCAGAATCGTCATGAACGTTCTTAAATCCTCTACCCAAAAATGTAAATAATTCAGAAAAAAACTGTACGACTTAATAAATGACTTTTATTCAAAACAAAAAACCCACTGTTATGTATGTAATTATTTCAACTATTTACTGATGTTACTAGCACACGTCGGTATCTTAAAGTGGAACATTTGATCGCAATCTTTGTTTAAGAGTACAAACAAAAATTGTATAGCTATGTATATTTTTAACATTGTATTGTCCCCAGTTCGGTGTATCCAGTCCATAACTATATAAATACAATTTGGTGACACATGAGTAATCATGTCTCTCTAACGACCGTCACCCTATTTATCTTTCACCTATAAACTATACACAAACAACTGCGCTTCTAATGCTGAAATGTACACACGTACGCACATGCTATTGGTAACAAATATACAATTGATATATTAAATTCTACCAGACTGATTTGATATTTGGTCCATTTACTTTGTTTGTAGCTAAAACAAGTACTCATGGAATGATTCGCTATTTTTAAAGTCACCCCAAAATATTTATGTAAAATACTAATTTCCTTTTGTACCATCGTTTCTTCGAATTCGAAATTAAAATTAAAGAAGGTTGGCATTTTTATTAAATAGGTATCAAACGTTTTAAAGGGGTCGAAAAAAATACAAAAGAAAAGACCAGCATGTCAACAAGGTGATAATTCAAGCTCAAATTTAATAAATCAAGGGCAAATATGGACTGAAGACAGATTAACAACTACTGAAAAATACAAAGAAAATACAACACTGAGTTTCGGGAAGAGAACGCGTCATGTTGATATTGGCCAATCTAAGTTAGTAATGTCACATTAAAAATGAGACCATGGTAAACAACAACGCAAGCAGTAGATGCTCAAACGAGAATCAAGCATGGCCAACTTCAAATCGCACAAAGAAATAAGATATTTCTCAATGAGTTCATTATGACGACCCAGAACAATCCTCATGATTTTATCAGCGTCGATTTCTCGAAACCATGTGTTGTTAGTTTGTCAGTTACCGACATCTTACACGGAAATCTTAATGTTAAGAGCACGCCATCAGATATCGAATCAGTTGCGTCATATAAATACCATAGGCATTGAATGCAGGACTGCTGCTCTTCAGAAATGGAAATTTTACAATAGGAAATTGGATAATGTACAGTATAGGTAGGGTTTCCAAAGTTATCAAACAAACTCAATTAGTTTTGTTTGCAGGAAACAGATTTACGATAATAACGGACGATGACGTCATGGAAAGATTTTTTATAGAGCAATCACAATGAAATGTCATAAACTGGATACTGTAACATGAAATTTAAAGCAGTGTGATCAACAGGGAGTTTGAACTACCATTTAATAGCTTGGTTATGTCAGACTTGGGGATAAAACTTAGAACATCTGGTTTTAATATCCTTGTACCTATTCAGTGTTTATTTTATTTATTTGTTCATACATTGCCCTCGTTTCATTGGCTTTAAAGTTGGAATCAAGATTCTGTTTGATTTTTTTCTCTGTAAACAAATGATTTCGCCTAAGAAAGTTGTAACGACTGACCGTCGGCTAACCCATCACTTGTATCACACTAGACAGAGTTCAAATCACCCATAACCAATATATATAAAATCTTGGATAAGTTTTCTGCTCGTGGATTTATTGAAACGAGTCTTAGAAATTTCTTTCAAGGCCCACAAGGATCATTTTCATTTCTTGATAACGGTATTGTCCATATTAGGACATCAAATCGATTTCTGACTGGCGTGGCCAAAGGAAAAAATCTCTCCAGTGTATATTACACTGGTGTCATATGGAAAAATATTACATGACCGAATTAATTGGATAACAGGACGATCATGTGATTAAAACATATCAGTGAGACGATACGTCACAGCATTCTGGGTAAACGTTTGTTTAATACTGTAAAAATTCAAAATAATGAGGTAAAAATGTTTATTGTATATCATAACTGTGTTTCTGTAAAAACATGTTAGCAAAATAATATTGGGTGTTAAAAACACTTACTTGTGGGACATTCTTCTATTAGTGCTCTTTTCTTCTTCCGTATTATGGCACTTTTCCTTCCGACAACGAAACTAGTACTTTTGTTAAAGTCTCTGTGTATCTCTTTGTCATTTTCTTCCGAGAAAACGACGTCAGAATTATCAACTTTGATCGTATTATATGTAGCCAGTGAACAAATAACTACAATCAACACACACTGGACTATTGGGCTCGACATGCTGGGAGTTATTACAATAATTTGATGATGAGAGAACGTTTTCACGTTTCAGCTATCCGATCTTAATATAGACAATACTGCATGGTAGTGTTCTCAATGACTGCCGTGATTGTTATACAAAGAGTTATATCAAACTAAATCCTTAGTACCTGGGGAGATTCTCTCTGAAGATCGGATTGATGTCACAGAACAAGGTTTGCGGTAACTGTAGAGTTTTAACAGAACAACTCTCCCGGTAACTGGAAAGATATCACAGAACATCTGTCCCGGGAACTGGAACGATATCACAGAACAACTGTCCCTGGAACTGGAACGATATCACAGAACAACTGTCCCGGGAACTGGAACGATGTCACAGAACAACTGTCCTGGAGAGTTTAGTGATGTCACAAAACAAATGTCCTCGAGACTGGAATGATATCACAGAACAACTGCCCTGGACATTTTAGTGATGTCACAGAACAATTGCCCTGGAGAGTTTAGTGATGTTACAGAACAACTGCCCTGGAGAGTTTAGTGATGTCACAGAACAACTGCCCTGGAGAGTTTAGTGATGTCACAGAACGACTGTCCAGGATACTGGAACGATGTTACAGAACAACTGTCCTGGAGACTGGAACGATATCACAGAACAACTGTCCCGGGAACTGGAACGATATCACAGAACAACTGTCCTGATATCACAGAACAACTGTCCTGGAGATATCACAGAACGATATCACAGAACAACTGCTGGAGAAATGTCAACTGAACGATATAGAACAACGGGAATGATATCACAGAACAACTGTCCCGGGAACTGGAACGATATCACAGAACAACTGTCCTGGAGACGAGAACGATATCACAGAACAACTGTCCTGGAGACGGGAACGATATCACATAACAACTGTCCTGGAGAGTTTAGCGATATCTCTGAACACCTGTTCTGGAGACTGGAACGATATCACAGAACAACTGTCTTTGAGAGTTTAGCGATATCACAGAACAACTGTCCTGGAAAGTTTAGCGACATCTCTGAACACCTGTTCTGGAGACTGGAACGATATCACAGAACAACTTTCATTGAGATTAGAACAATGTCACAGATCAGCTGTCCTGGTAACTGGAATTATATCACAAAACAACTGCTCTGGACAGTGTAGCGATGCCTCATCGCAGCTGTAATAGAGATAAGAGCAATTTTACAGGAAAAAATATGTGGTGGAATCTAGGACAGTACCGCCGCACAAATGTCGTGGAAAATCGTGTAATAGGCATTATAGCATCGTTCAATGAAACACCATAAACGAATCCTTTTTGTATTGTTATCTGCTACTTAAAGTCTACTATTACATCATTGTCTAATTACAGCCGCGTTGTTACATTGACTTATATTGGATACTTCTGTTGATAATTTTCACACTGTCCTGTGTAAGTCCAAAAGATCAGATCCAATAAAACGGGAAGTACATTAACAAGATATGAAAAGGGTCTGTTGTAGTGTGATATCCCAATAGGGTTTTCCTGGCATTTCTGTATATAGACAACACGATGAAATATTCTAATTGTAAAGCAACATTAACAATACAGAACCATATGTAATTTGATCGACAAACAAACAACGCTGTTGGATTGTAAAAGTCACGCGCGTCCAATGTCTGACGCTGACCCCAAACAAAAGCATTACTGATATTTGATGTGCAAAAAATAATACAAGTCTCACGTTATCAAAAGTCAAACCTTTTACGGGGATAGTAAATATTTAAACTCATTAGGGACATATGTCATCAGAGGATACAGTTAAACATGACATCAGAAAACACTATTCATTATTGATAGGAAATGGACCTGCATCGGACAGGATACTGAAGCGTCTCCTGGATATATCGCAAGTAAAACCCAAATCGACATTCGGTGGACGACGATAGTGGTACAAAAGCTATCTTATCAATAGCTTAGGCATTCTGCAAAGTATTGAATCATTCAAAAACAATTGATATTTACAATCTGCTTCGGCATTTCTCAACTTCTTGTGTAATGTTTTGGAGAAAAATGCTTCCAGAACGATTGGAAATTTTTTGGTGCATACATGGGATTACAGTGTCTTGAAAGTAAACTCACTATCTAGAAATGAAAATGGCGACAGAAATCTGATTAGCAATCATTATAAATAAATTCAGAAAAAGATTACTAATATATCTCTGTATTTTACTACAGTATATGACAACGCTGTGAAGAACAAAATATGTCAAAATAGCTGTAAATTAAAAATAACAGTTGCTAATTAAAAAGGTTAATTAATGAAGTTTATTTTTGTAGTGGAAATGTGTAATATATATTCATTCATATATCAGACAGTGATTATCCAGAGTAGGGATACAGAGTGAGGTATAATCATATCAACTCGAATTTATACTGAATTGTCCTCCAGAGTAATTTTGAAATGGACGTTTGTAATTATCAACTTAAATTTTCGGTGGAGATTGTTGTAAGCCGATTTGTGTAAATGAGGCTCTCAATATACGTTAACATCGTTAATTATATTAGATTCCGTGAGTCAGAAGGGAGGTTAATAATATTTGATTATGTTTAATGGTGAGCAATTTCAACATTTACGGCAATTAGACATGTGTTATTTCTCTGTTCGCGGGATGTTTTAGGGTAAATAAAATAGTCAGATTAGGGTCCGACCTTAATCCCAGTGACAGTGAGATTCAGTGTACTCTCGAGGTGTAATGGTCGACAGTTGGAGAGCGTTAGAGAGGCCGAGCGAGACAGCGAGAGATCTCTGTGTTCAGAGACAATGTGGAATGGAAATAAAAAAAAAAAACACTATACGATCACAAAAAAAGTGTCATGTTCTGTAACACGTCCAATTTCTACATCTCTTTTCCCGATAAGTGATACATTATTTGTATTTTTGAAAGCGGTCAGACATTTGGGAGAACAGGCTCTCCTCTGTTTTCCCTATCCACGGCAAATGTATCCACAGTTTTTGTTAAGCCGCTTGAGGCGTATGATTTTGAAAAAAAAAATGAAAACGATCTATGGAATATAGACCTTAACGTTTTCCGGAATTATACGCCAGAACTTCTAGCAACTAATGAAAAGAAACATGCAAATTTTCCAAATTTATATTGCTAGTATGATTCAGTAAATTCCGGAAAACCCCGACTGACAATCATAATCACAAATAAGCTTAGATGTGTTGTCCGGATATAATGGTTTCACTTCTGTTCGTCTGCGACTTTCAGAAGTAAGGTAAATGGTGTGTAAACCATTATACTATGCAGTGTTCCATCACAATAAGATATGGGCGTGTCTTACACCAAACAACATTTACGAGTCATCCAAACAAAGACGTTATTATACCTCAGATTTAAAAGCATTAAATTGCTGACATTCACTTTCCTTTCTGAAGCTGTTAATACGTGTACTTGTGTTATATTTCTATCCCTACTCCATTAGCAAAAAAAAAAAAATATATTAAAAATCCAAAATTCCTGTCAGGGTGAGACAGTTCTTTCTCAGAGCCTGGATAGGTGAATCCTAATTTACACCTGTGTTATATATCACTGGAATCTGGAGAAGATTTCTTGATATCTTCCATAGAGATCGAAACCTGCACACTTATGACAGCGCATGCCTAACGGAAGTCATGCAGTCAAATGTTAAACATAAACAACATAGGTTTGATACCGTTAAATAATCAGTGGTCAATAAGGTATGGTTGTACTTGATATAATCCGTATTTACCTCTGTCCAGTTAAATGAAAATCATTTTCTATTACTTTGTGGACTTATTCGGAGAGCTGTGCCTCTAATGGAAGTGAGATTCATTTTTCCTAGTGAAAATGATTAAGTGAAAACAACAATAACTCAGTTTTTTTGTATCGAATATAATTGTCTTCTTCTTCGGGAAAATACCCCTTACCTAAACTCTAAAAGGAGATTTTATAAAGTGAACTCGCGCATAGGTTATGGAGCATTTTTCTCCTTTCCCAATCCTTAAATACGGTAAGTTGAGACGACGGACCAAATGAATGCTCTTGACCGAGTTTCAAGGTTTACGAGATGAAATGAACTCAAATCTTAAAATGTCTTTCACTAAAGAAAAATCCTATGTTTGTACGTAGAATGAATGTTTATAAAACGTGATATTCCTAACTCCCTTTCCTGGATATGTTATCTAAACAACAGTAAACACAATATGAATGATACTTCTCCCTCCATAATATTCTTTCGTCTTATAAATATTCGTTAAAAGTAATAAACCATATTTACATGTTATATCTATATTTGTTACCCTGGTATATAAATATACGCAGCAATATAACGTTCGGCCAGACAGAAATTCTCTTTATCTTATGATCGTTTGCCTTGGAGCATTAGCCTGGTAAACCAGAAGTTCATGGTTCGATAACTAGCATTAGATTTATAAAGGAAATATTCAGTATGAAAGAATTATACTGCTCTTGGAGTTTTCACGGAAAAACACAGATTTGCTCTCTTTTAAGGGGAAAATCTTTTGTCCGATCTCATTGTCTCGCGTTTACATTATATCAATCCTGTAATAGGTTACTGTTATCGAGATAGTATTTCTCCCAAACCTGTGCATAAAGTCGTTTTCATATTCATCATATTCAACCTCAAACCGAGATTTGCTGGAAGATGACTTCACTTTGTTAGACGTGAATGGTTTAAATCCGAGACTTGCACATTATATAATCCTCATTTTAATAAGAAATTTATTTAACACGTCGCCTCCCCCCACCCCCTTCTTTTCATTTATAACACAACATTATGTAAGAATGAATTTCTCCACATAGAAACGTTACAAACGGTAAACATTTTATAAGGAAGTTTCCTGTGGTGGTTTTACATAATGATAAATATAACACGTGAATGACCCATGTACACTCACTCACATCAAGGTTAGTGTCACGTTCTGCGCGTGCAGACACGTTATTTGTCGTAGTGGAGATGTCGGACTCTCAACAACAGACTCGATGGCAAAGGTGAGCGATGTCCACTTGTATTTAAACAATATGTCTAACCGTGTTCTTATGAAATCGATTCCCCTCCACATTCTAACCTAGTATTAAAATTTATGAATTCTCATTGCCCGCTTTCGATGTCCAACAATATATAATTTTGAAATAATGAAAACTCGTCCCTTTCGCATTACTGACGTATTACTGTAAGCAAACAACACAGACTCGTCCCAAAAGCTTGTATTACTCGCCCCAACAAACCACAGGGACCTGGAAATTTATAATTGTCTTGGTGAATGATGTTCGGTTAAGATTATATCCTCTGTTTTGATTTTACCTGTATATATCATTGAGCTATAATTGTACATAATACTAGCTATATAGGTAAGCTTCTAAATCGTCAAATAATATTATATACAGAACACGACAACTTACCTACCACACATCTCAGGTCCCTGTTGTCCGGACGTCTAACACATTGAAACACATTCTATATCGAACTTATATCAAATACATCCCTGGTAGTCGTAGGAGTTTGTTTGTTTTTTGTTTTTTGTTTTTGTTTTTTTAAATACTGGACTTAATTTATATAATGTACAACACTGCTAGCGCAGGAGTTTCTTTTTTAATCAATTTATTTGCATGGCTAATTGACATTCAATGTTAATTTCATGTTAGATTTTTGATAAATTTCATTTCGGTTGATATCCATGTAACACTATCATTTACATAGGTTTCAGTATACATCAATAGTTAAACAGTGGAAAATTAGAGCAAACACTTCCGCTAAAAGCGATGAAAACGATTGTGACGTCAAGGCATGCATTTTACAAAAATCAGCATGTACGTGAACTTTTTATCACATAATGCGCGTGTTCTATAAACGTGTTTAGCCTACAACATCATCATACATAAACATCAATAAATTTCATATGTCATAATGTCATATTAACATGGAGCATATATGACATGAGTCTTTATTTCAGTGAGACTTTATGAAACAAGTCTTAAAAAAATATTTTTTTTTATCATTTTATTTTTGCAAGCCTTGGTGAGCACATATTAAACTTTGATGAGAAATTCATAACATTTCATATCAAATTAAAGTAAAAATGAAGACATCTGAAAAAGAATTTAAGACACTGTTATCACATAAATCTAAAGTGACATTTTGCCGGGTTTTGAAGTAAAAAGTAAGATTAGTCATTTTATTACCATATTTTTAATTAATGACGTAACGTCATTATCCGTATTATGATGTCACAATCGATTTCTGACAGTTACTTCCAGTAAAAACGACCCGTAGTGCATTACACTAGTGACATACATGTATATGCAAAAATATTACATACATATAAAAAAATAATGAAAAGTCGCCATTTTAACTTATCGCTTTGGCGTCCTTTTTATCTCGGTTTTACGTCCTCTCGTTATCTAGCTTTTGCGGGGTTTCGTTATTTTGTCTATTCGCTCGGCATTTTGGGCAACAAAACGAAAAGACGAAACGTTAGGTATAAACCATCATACATAGGGGAATTCACAGGAAAGACTGTACTGAACGAATCATTCACACGTGAAGATACCTAACTTACACGAAAACGATGATGACTGTCACTATTATGTCCGTCCTAAAGCTGGTGATTTATCAAACCATTAAATAACCCAATAATTCGCTATAGTCAGCATCCACGATGAAGAATTAACTAACGTCCGTCATCATAATTCAGCGATCGGACAGACAGGGTCTATGAATATTTCATTAAACATCGCTAACTTTCTATTCTCATGGACATGGTACAAGATGGAGTTCTCGGACGTTAATCTTCCTCCACTGTCGACCAACCCTGATCGTCGTTAGTGTCCTCATCGTCGTCGACTGTCTGTCCATCCTCGGACAGATGATGAGCGATTTGCACGCTATGAGGAGTAAGTACCAAGTATATGGTTTAGATTTCATGGAAGTCTAAACTTTCACAATGTTCTGTAGTTTGTTGAGATAATATACATGTACACCACACCTGACAATTCGATGAAGTGTATATCTGTTGGGACATATAACCCGTTTGTATACATACTGCCTAGACGTTTCAGGAAGCTTATATCAAACAAATAATAAACGATAAGATGCACATAAGACCTGCATCGCTCACCTAGATTCTTTAGTAAATAAAATAAACGTTCCTTAAGATGTATCTATAGGTTTAAGAGCTATTCACAAAAGGGTATTCAATACAAAACCAGTTATAAAACAAAAGCACTTATACCGGGTCGAGCTACGGTCTACGGTTCACATAAACATTTCACAGTCATGTAAACCGTGCAAAAGTAACTAATTTATTCTACTTCCCTACTTGACCCCACTACAACATGCCAGCCCTAGTCATTATTCAAAATTTACTCTCCAATATGAAAGGATTTTCCAGAACAAATGTCTTTTAAATCTAACTCCCTAAAGAGGCACATCGGAATACACATGTCCAAATTCAACTCTCTTAGTGTATGCAGTACAATAGATTTTTTTGAAATACACATACATTTCACCACATTAATTCAGGTAAGATTTGGTTATCTAGAGCGTATAAAACTAGTATAAACCAGACTTACCATCCCTAGGGAAAGTATTTAGAAAACCTCTTTTACATTGGCACTAGTGTAAGTACCCGGAAGATATATACAGAAAAAATACCTAGTCTTGCTCCACAAGTATTGCTTTCACCCATGGAAAACGAGTTGTTTCCGGGGAAGGAGTATATTGTATAACACCCTGGTTAAAAGCATATTGCTTCCTTAAGGAAATATTGACACCTGTTACAAGCATAATTTTAGTTAAGATAAAGTTTTCCAGTTTCTCAATATATCTATTCAGTTACCTTATTTTATCTTCATTGTATTTTCAACAGCCTTTAACGTGTTTGTTTTTATCCTTTAGTTCGATTTCAATTGGAGGAGGAAAACGTGCATTTATTTGAAAAACATTTGAAAATGGCGTCAGCCAATCAAACCTCCTTGGACATGGAAGATATCAGTGACATCATGCTGTTTTTACGGGAAAACATGGATGTTGTGCTGAGTGACCGATGTTCTGACTACTGTGATCGCCAAACCTCGTCTTCGGATTATAATAAACAAAATACAGAGAATACTAAATTGCCTATATTCGATAGAAATTCTTCTACAAACGTTACCATAGAAACCAAAGATGTTTCTTGTATTAAATCAAATCCTATATGGATACAATTCAACAAAGGCGCTGAGGCGTTATATGTTATTGGCGAAATGGGTGTAAATTTAAAGCGTCTTGATGAGCACGAACCGCACGGAATTCTGGAAGATATTGATGTCGCCAGAGAAGTTCTCTTTATTATTGGTGTAGTGATCGTATCAATAATGCTACTGGAGGTAAATATAGTTGTATTATAGGTGTATGTGTTTGTCTGTCCTCTGGCCGTCCGATCTGTCCGTCGGTCTGACCTCAATCAATTATACTTGTTGATTGCATTCACTTTTCAAAAATCTTTGTTTCCTATAGGCAACGAAATCTACATATTTTTAACCCCAATTCATCATTAGATCTGAGAATGCATTTGCCAACGGAATGAGCAGACATTCGAGGAATTTTCAAATTTCAATGTGGGATGCATCCTACTGCCGGACGTGCAAAATCTGTCAAAAATCAATACCATACAGTTCTACGAGGCAATGTTTTAAAAAATGATATCGAACTTGACGTTTATTCGTCAAAAATTGTGACGTCATACATAAACAACCATGGCATTACGTCTCAATTTAAATGTTGTCCTAACTCGAAACAATTTTGCGGTGTGTACAGATATAAACGATTGTTTGAATATAGCATTTTACGTAACGAGATCAGCGTGTATGTTTGATCAGTTTGGTTTAAAACAGACTGACATTTTGTCGGATTAGACTTATCGATGATATAATGATACAGTTGTTCCATTTGTCATCTTAAATGCAAATATTTATAAATAAGGGAAAAAGGGGGACAATGACACTAAATAACATATGGACATTTAGTTTACAAACGAATAATCTTTTTAATATCATATTTACGACTAACCTATCTTTTATGTATGAAATTCCCGATATTGATTAACGTATTTGGAAAAATCATATATATATATATACCTGTATCTGATTATGTTTATACCATTGCTATTTAGGTGATGATGAGAACAATTTGCAGGGGAAGAGATTTCTACAAGAGGAAGTTTGAAGTGAGTATGTTTAGACTCCCTATATGACCAGATAACCTTTAGATTCACAATGTATGTATATAATATGCAAAATGCTAACTTAACTTTTTCTTGTTTTTTTTTTTTTTTTTTTAATAATTTTCTTTATATATATATATATATATATATATATACCATTGTATGTGTAATATATCATATATATATTATATATGCCTATTCCTGTCTTTCTTTACTGAAATCTAGTTTACAGAATGTCCGTCCGTTCGTCTTTCCTTTATCATTTATTTTCGGTTTATTGATATGTAAAAGTCCGTCCATACGTTTTCTTGTTATCGTTCATCATTGTATTGACAAGTTTCAGTCTGTCCTTTCGTCCCATTTTTCATTATCAATAATCAGTTTATCTTGCTGCAGTCTGTCCATTCACCCTGTTTTTATAATTCATCATCGTTGTATAAAATGTAAGACGTAAACGTGTTCGTCCTATTTTCAATCTTTGATAGTTTGTTTGTCCGTCTGTCTGTTTGTCCTACAGGTGTTTGATACTGCCATTGTAGTAGCTGCGTTTGTGGTTGACTATGCATTCCTGAGTGGACAATGGAGTGACAATGCAACCGACTCTGCCACTATTCTTATACTTCTGTTGCCTTGGAGGTTCGTCCGAGTCATTTCAAGTACGTTAACCCTTAATTCTCGTCAGTCTTTTGTTTCGCTTTCTGTTTTAAGTCCTCTAATGTAGTATTAATCTGTATTGTATAAGTTGTTCTGTTATCTGACAGTTCAGACTTTCTTGCATAATGTCGGCACTGACAAACAAACTCACAACACAATATTTTACGGTCATCATAATGATTTCAGTGGGGAAAATATTTCCAGGTGCGATATGAAACTGGACGTGTTTGATGCCCGTTTGTTTGTCTGTTGGTTCCGTTGTTGTATACCATGTTCTCATTTGAGAATGTGACATTACTTCGATTGACCAAGGTTTACATGGCGGATGTCGTCGATGAAGCAGAATACGCTTTCTCTTCCGGAACACCTGGTCTTATTTTCCTTGTACTTTTTAAGAAGTTTCCGTGTAAATATTTTTTTCCTTTATTCATATTTATTACCTGAATTTGGGTAATGATTATGTTAACATGTTTTCTCGTTGATTTAAAGACATCGAGGTAATATATAGATTGTTTGAACATTTAGTAGTGATATGCACATCGATATCAAAGGACATGGTCAATCGTCACCTTTATTAATGCTCTTTAATTAGCTATACTACGGAGTATCTTTCGCCGCCATTACGTCACAATGTGGCAGGACCACTTCATGAATAATGCCACAGAAAATATCGATATATTCATCAACATCTTCTTCAGTGTTGAAAGACAAGTCACAAGCATCATTAAGGTCCTCCACTATATCAATGAGACCGATTGATAAAACACCATTATTATTTCTATTTCACCTGACTTTTGTGGAAACATTTCTGTACATGTTTTATCAATACAATTAACATTAAAACTACCACAATCAAGGTTAAAAACTGGTGTTGAATGATCAGACAAAGTGTTAAACTCGCCTGAAGTAAACGTTCGTACACGTGACAATCTGTCAGTAAATAATCGATAAAACCTTGCTCTATAACTACTGTATAACGTCCTTATTTGTCATCTTGGTGACGCCCATTACCTATATACATACCGGTAGATTTGTGTAATATTAATAACCTCCTACCGTGAGTATAAACATGTATGTCCATGTTCTTATTTTCTTCGATTGCATTATCAATATTGTAGTCAAAAATATTTACGTCATTTGATCTATCTAGACCATCGCTGGTAGTAAAATCTAACCTCGTCCTTGTACGAGCATTAAGTTTAAGGAATAATAGAATCGTCAAGGTTTTTGAAGTAAGATCAACATCACGATTATGATCAAATATTCTATTTTCTGGAGGAAAATAGCAAAAGCATAGTAACAAAGGCTCAAATGTAAGATTGATTTTAAACAGAATATGCAGTCGTTAATGTTTTCAACAAGTTGAAAATTTCCTTTAAAAAAATACCACGCCCCCTCCTTTGCTGGTAGTTCTAGGGCTAACATAGACACAATAGCTAAGTAAATCAACCTCGTCAGTGTTCGATATCCAGCATTAGGAAAGAAACGCTATCATAATCATATGTAGTTTCTGAAGATTTTGAAGTTTTTCAGTTTGCGGGTAAACCTTTGTCTATGGTTACATGTTGGGATTGACCGACCACTCTATGTACTATCTTATCTGTTGTACTGTATACACAAGATATGTTTAGTGGTTGACGATTTTACACAAACAATTTGAAATATATGTTTACACATATGAACGATTTGCAATGAGCTTGTGAAAATATAGACAGAGATGTAATCCAAACAGTCTACATTTATGTTTTTCATGTCATTTCTCTCCAGGTTTGGTCACGGCTATAACGAACAAACATCAGATACAGATACAGCAACTGAAAACCGCCAAACGGACTTGTGAGGAGAGATTAACTCACGCGCGAAATCTCGTGCTACAGATGGAAGTAAGTACAGGTAGTCATTACTATGTTTTCATAATACTGACATTTATTTACACATCTATTCATAATCTTTTGGTACTTTGTTTTCAGAAAGATGCACAATCTTTGGCTCTGCTTTGTAAGAGGAAGGGAGCGAATGAAACCGATATTAAGTCATGTTACTGTAAGTATTCAAATAAATTGAGTCAAGTTTCTCTAACTGACACTGTCAGAGAAAAGCAAATTAAATTGCATTTGAGAAGGTAACACTGCCATCAAAATCAGAGAAATAAAAAAATAAATATCTTTATAAAAAAATTACTATTTTCAAAATTTTATCACGTATTTTCAATCTTTAATTAGGATATCCATCGAAATCAATATTTTTACCATTAGGTAAGACAACAACTGCTGCCGTGTCGACATTTGCTTCTACATGTTTGCTGATTACGGCCCCTTCTTTGAGTGAAACCAGTTTCTACCACCAGGGGTCTCGGGGTCATCTGTTCCGGAAAGTGTTTGAAGAGGCTGATGATGTTAGTTGTGAAGAGAACAATAATGTCCTGGTAACTTCAGGGGATGTCGTTGATTCTGAACATCCCCGAACACTCAGGCGCGCAGGTCCCAGGGTACTAAACACCACTCCCTCACCGCCTGGGACCCGTGTAAGTGTGGTTGAACAATGTCAAGGACTTCTCTCTGGTGATGAGGTCAGCTTGTCCGAATCGTCTGAAGATTATATTACTCCAAGGACGGAGGTAAGTTTACAACCTCGCGAACCAAAAAATAAAACTCTCGATAAGAATGGACTTGTTGAATAAACTCTGTTCACTTCCTACAAAGCAGATAATTTGATTGACCAACTCCGTCCTCGGAACTGTTGGATGACGTTACCATTTTCACGTCACTGTGTTTGTTTCGTTCTGACCCCGGTAATACATCCTAAAAAGCCGAGTCAATGTTCAATAATGCGCCCATACATTGTCAAACTCCTGTGTTGTAGTGGGATTGATCTGATATAGATATGAATATTCACTCAAGTGTAAATTATAAAGAACATATGGTCTGTTTCAGAAAACGACGCGTTTATGAAGTGTGGGGAACGACTATATGACCATCGGTAAAGTACAGCACGACTTTCCGGCGAATATCGGGGGGGGGGGGGGGGGGGGGGATGAGTGACATGAACATTGCTGATTTCCTCTCTCTCTCTAAGTAGTCAGGAGGATACATACCCATACGTACCTGTATATGTGCACGTTGAGACAGGTTTTCAAGATATCCTCGTTGTCCTCTCCGTCCCATGTTTATATTTTTTAATAAATTGAAAAGAAAATTGGCATGCAGGGTAAGATCATGTCCAATTCGTTATCAAAGGGAGGGCATTCTTGTATACCGTGACACCTAGACGTATGGTATTAGCTCCAGAAGGAAACCAGACCATGTTGGCCTCCCCTGATGTGACAAGATGAATTATCATCCAGCTATGATGATAGTTATAAAAATCATGATTAAAAAGATCAAAACACAAAGTCGGTTTGAATATTTAATGTGGAAATGCACGACTTTTTAATTTTCTGTTAAAGTGACCAGTCAAAATCAATTACATTACAGTATATACTTTTCGTATTTTGCTGAAAATGCCGATCAAATTTCGTAAGAGAGGAATTTTTACGAATTCTAACACATATTGGTCACGAACATAGACTCTGAGCTGACAGTGAACTGTCCTGACGTCGTCTTGTTAATGACGTATTCACTCTTCACTAGTCTCCGAACGAGAAATGAAAGAACAACCGGTAACTTGACCGGCTCAATTCAATTCATACCGGACTGCATCACACCTCTTCGTATTATCTCCAATGGGCTAAAAGTATCTCGAGTTTTTAATGCACCTTTTCTTATAAATCTTTGTAATTCTGTATCATTCCTCTCCCAAGATAACCCTAATCTTTATAAATGAGTTTTCTACATATAGAAATACCCTCTGTGGGGTTAGAATATGAATAAGGCCATGTGACGCTACATGGTCCAATATGATGACGTCTGTGGTTCTAAGAATATAGGTATTTACATATATCCTCATACAAAATAAACAGTCGGACAGGTAAAAATAATATCCTCACGAATATACATATCATTGGTTCATAAATTTGTAAATGTCAAATGGGACATTCGACAAATTAGCCTTGACCGGTGACCACCTGAAATGGCTGGGACATAAAAGTACAGTTGAAAATATTAAATATCATTGATATCAAAATAAATACTAGGCACATTACTGAAGTTGTTACAGATATCACATTTCAATTTGCATTGCACCGCATTTTGTTCATGCATTGAATTCTTTAAGTCAACGCGGATACTCTTCCATGTCAAAATCGTCCGCAGGATCAAAAATATCAGAAGCAGCTGTGTTCTGTTTTTGGATATCAAAAGCTGATGGCAACTGCGGCATTTTAAATGGCCTGGAATTGTTTTGTTCTCTGTTAGCCTCCGGGCTGATATTTGCGTGACTAAGATCTAGGGTAGACGCTGACTGAAGTTCGATATCGATAGATGTTGCCTTCCTCGTCAGCATGTAGAAATCTTCTTCACTTTCAAACCCTTCCAACCAATACGTCACCATCCTACCTTTACCCTAGAAAAACGAAATAAAATTCGGTATTTACAAATGACTTACTACAATTCCTTGGCTTAAACACTATTACGTGTACTTACTGACGAGGACCACCAGTCTTGACATTTTATCGCTTCCGGTGAATGAAAAATTTGACAAATTAGTGCATTTTCATTACAAACGAGAGTTACGGTTTAAGCGGACAAAATTCAATTTCTAAGAGTAACACAATTTTGTTCAAACTTTTGCCCAGACTTTTGAAACGCGATATTGGACGTTGATAACGGATATACTAATTTCAAAATGTAGAGGGCAGATGCTGAATGGATTAGTTGTTCTACGAAGACTTAATTGGTGTACACTGCCGTTATACGGTCTATACCTTGATTTCCATTTCTCCTCTTTCAGATATCTTGAACTTTCTAGCCTCCTTTAGTAAGGTATAGGTAGCATCACTCATGTGTATTTTCAAGGCTAAAAAGAAAAACAAAGTTTTTTTCATTAAAAGCATGCCTAAAAGCAAACTATCCCGTGTCTAGAGGCTAACCCATATCTACATATATTTACAAAAATCATCTACAACTATTTTTGAATAAACCAGTCCTGGACATGCCGTTTTTGATTCATTCGAAATAATTGACATTGTCTGAATACAAACATGTACTTGACGTTCTTTCGAAATAAAAAAATCAACTTGTTAAATCATTGGGCTAATCCAAATGTAGATATATGTTTTTACATTCCTTTCGATCTATCTAGATATTCCTCAGTCTTCACCTATTCTTAAACACTTTAGGCCCGTAGCATCACCGAGGACTCCTAGAAGGACGAAACAGCTGTAAGATGAAGTGTCCCTCTCTGTTCGAATCTACTCATTAACATGCTATTCTCAGTTTCAATGAAAGGTGATATTAATGTGTCTTTTGTACAATCGTTTGCTTCAAAGATGATGTGTTGGCGTTACTTATTGCACGGAGAAAAACTTTACAACACTAACGAAACTACATAACATAAATTCCGACAGAGGTCAACAGATGATTTTCTACAGAGGTCAAAAAATTTAAATAATCTATTCATAGCGTTCCAAACATTCGTAAACAAGATGGCATACCAGCTGATATCCTAGCATTTTTCCATTTGAGTTCCTTAGAAGAAATGTTTTACTTCCAAATTACTACGGTTGTTATCAGGAATCCAATTTTTTTAGAAAGTATTTAATTGCATTTTTATTGTTGTTCCTCCAGCTGCGGCTGTTGTGGTTCATATGTTCGGATATGGGTTTCTTGTTAGTCATGAAATGCACTTTGGTTTGTCTTTATTAATTCTTAGTGTAAATTTCACGGTTTTTTCTATCCTCGATAAAAGCTAAAAAAAACAACCCCTCGAAAAACTTTTACAGAATCCAGTATGTCCGCCCAAACATACCTTGACCGTTTGATTCCATTCTAGAAGCGGTATTGACCGTGTCTCCGAACAAACAGTACCGAGGCATGGTAAGGCCAACCACTCCAGCCACCACTGGACCGCTGTGCAGGCCTAGAATAAACAAATGTGAATCTGGTATTTCTTATATAAGACATCTACTTACCATCAGTTGGCGTTCAGGCCAAACAATGTCTTCACATTGAATAAAGCTTTGTTGACAAACGTAATTTACAGTGAAACCTTTCTTATAGGCCTCCTACCCACTAAATAATGGCAACCTCGCTATTATGACCACTTCATTTCAATCACAAAAAAATCTCAACGTTTCTGTATAGCATTCTTTACTATTATGACCACTAAAGATCAGTTTTAAAAAAGTCACGAAGACTTGTTTTGTATTGAATGCTCACTAATCACTGACCACAAAGTTAGCTGATGTGTATTCCACAGTGAGCAATAGCAAGATATCCAAGTTTCAAAATGGTTTACAGTGTCTCTTTACTAGTGTACGTTCTTATTTTAAACTTACCAATTGCTGACTTTGAAAAAGTAGTTAAAAGAGAACATAAAGGAAGTCTGTCAGCTTGGTTATACTTTTAAAAACACTTCATTATTCAGATCACCTGTATCCGGTCCTCAAGGTGGTCTTAAATGTTTAATAGTATTCCCCCACATCGGTCTTTACAGGGACGCTGAGGCAGATTACACAGTCCTAGCAGCACCATTGTATTCGTTATATCTTCATTAAGGTAATAATCAACAAGCAAGGTTTACATTACTTTGTGCGTAGCTTACTCTCAACAATACTGTAAACAACTTTCTTTCGCGGGTACTTATTTTCGAGATTTCTCCATCACCACAAGTTCACGGCGATGATTTTCGGCAAAAGAAACTACACTGTGATATAATATTGCCTTTATTAACAATGTCCGTCTAAAATGCCTGCTTTCATGTTGTTTTGATTGTGGAATACGAAAAAATAAATCGCACGCATCAGAAAATTGGGTTAAAGTAATACATTTTGTGTGCTATAAGGTCATTATAATAGTAAAAGAATAATTCTAGTCCCTGTTTGAAGTATCAACACACTAATATATGCATTGGTGAATTGAAGGTAACTGGAGTTAAATCCAATAATGTTTTGTCCTTTGACAAACCACTAAAATAGTCCTAATTATATACATATTGCATACTGACCGATGCGAATTTCTAGGTGGACGTTAGGTTTGTGTGGAATCTGAAATTTCCTGACTTCATTCAAAAGAGCTATTGAGACAGAAGCCATCTCTGTAACGTGTTTGTTCCCATTTTTCTCTGGAAGTCCACTGACAATCATATAGGCATCTCCAATGGTCTCAACCTTTTATATAGAAAAAATGAATCAGAAGATCATCCATACGTATAAAGAATTAAAGGTATTCGAGATATTGAGATTAAATTGGGTTTACCACACAGGTGCCGTCCATACAGAAGACTTCCGTTCTAGAAGATTATCTAAAGACACGCAAGTGAATAGCACCATTCAATACAAATTTAGAATAAGTGACAGCTGAACCAAATTGATGAATTAAACCGTATCATACAACTGTGATGCTAAGAGACAACTGAGGAAGTCCAAAGGAACCGAAAAAAGATGGAGAGGTGCATTTGCTATATATTTCAATAGATTTGGCAACTTTCATATATCTGTCAGTCTTATTTTCATTGCACGTTTTTTCAAAGTCTCCGGGTACATCGTTTCGTTTATTTGTTATATTTTTGATAATCTGACTTCGATTGTTAGTTTGGTTTTGTCTTTGTTGTTCTCACTGTTTTTAAACATGTTTGTATTAAATATATGATTAAATTGTTTATTTGCCGGCTTTATTCTCCCGTGAAGCCAAGTTGACTCGAAGTACTTTACTAAACAACATGCAGTGAAATCCGCCGCAAGCTATTGAAAGCAAATGCAATAAAGCAAAACAAGATCAACAGCTTCATAAGAAACACATGATTTTCCGAGTAGATATCATAAGCAATACCGTAGGAATTGCAGGCAGTGACAACACATTATCTAGGCTTCAAGAGAATGCTGCTGTTTATCATCAAACATGTTCTATGTATAATCCATTTAGGAGTGATTAGAATTAGAATTACTCAAATCTTTCCGCAATTTCTTTGTAATTTAATTATATTGCCTGCACCGATATTGTCATAGCCTGTTCACACCTTTTTAATGCCGCACGTGAGTAGCACGTGAACAACACATACTGTTGATTATACTATCTTACCTTGTAAACATCGAAATGTTTGATCGTGTCATCAAATACTGTATAAAGAGCGTTAAGTAGATCCACGATCTGTGGAGAAAAAGATCAATTCTAAAGTGCCTTATCTCCCTTACATCACATATAAACACAAGATTTGTCTTCTGATCAGTGAGTCTTCAAACGTTTATAACGAAGAATCTGATAGAGTGTGGCCTAGAAAAGATTAACATACATGTACATTTGTTTATTAAGAACAGCATCGTTTTACTTACAGAAACAAACAAAAATGTTTGCTTCGTATGCAATGTAGGAATGCTTCTTCACTAAGGAGGCTCAAGTATTTACTGAAACTAAAACAACTAAACAACATAAACAAAACTAAAAGCAAACGGAAATGCCTCAAGAACACAAAGGGATCGATGGAGTAATAGTTAATCATATATATGTAAGGTTGACAAATTAAAGTTTATACATTCAATTCTTAACATTGCCACTATTCTCTGAACTTAATACAGATATGAACTCAAAATAAAGAACAGAATTTGAAGTGCCTCACAATGTATATATGCCACAGATGTTAACGGGAAAATGCATAACCAAGCGCTGTACTCGAGTAAGGACGGAAAGCAGTTTGTTAACACTGGTCTAAGATAATATTAGCAAAATGTATATACGTGTATCTGTGTTGTAATTTCGTGTTAGTACCTCTATGCATAGGTTTAGAAAAGGACCATGGAGTAAAGTTTTAGTTGACATTTGTATAACAATATTTGTATTAAGGTTTCGTGACTTGATCTGACTAAATATACTTAAAATATGACTGCTGTATGATTTAGGAGACATACCTGTAATGGTGTACTAGCAGCAGCTATGGAAGTAAAACCAACGATATCCGAGAAATAAATTGTCACCGTCTCAAAGGCCTCAGCCTGGACAGACATTCCTATCCTTAACTGTTCAGCTATCTTCCTACAACAAATTAGATTTTTGTCTTCATTAAAAACATTCGTGATAATGTAATAGGTTGACTGTATACTTGTATTATGATTTCTCATGACTGGTACATATTTTTTCAATTCATAATACAAAAGTTCAGACATGGTTTTATATGTAATAATATCTTAATACTGTATAATATCTTAACTGATTCAACAAACTGCTTCTCATTTCTCATAAAAGAAAATTAAAGTTTATCCAGTTTCAGCTCAAAAATTTGAGAAAGGAATCCAGTTGATCCATGATTTTCGTAAGCAAACAAGACATAGAGACCTCTGACGATCGTATATTATTATAAAACGTCAGACATTAAGAACAATTTGATACTGATGACGTCATAATGACGTATTTCCGTTAGTTACCTTGGTAACATCCTGTAGAGGAGAGACTCCGTTTTGCGTTTTTCCTCCTCCAGCTGGGCCGTCCTCTCGTCAACAAGGTCCTCTAACTGATTAGAATACTTCTCCATCATCGTCATCATATTCTCGATCACATTAGATTTCCTAGTCAGCGAATAGAAATTTCTTTTAAAGTTATTTCAATAAAGTTGATTCTCATATGATTATAAATTTTCAACCAAAGGCAATATTTTGCGACGGTTTGGTAGTGGACTGGTGTACATCAGGCACGAGTGGTGGACTTCCTTCTTTCATCCCGTGTTTTATACAGTACAAAATACTTAAAACCAGAGAATGGAAGATGACGTTTCACTCCATGATAATCAGTTCCTTATGCTTTGAAATCGGGAAATACTAAAAGACTTTTTGGAAATCGTCTTCCTCTCTATAGGTCAAGTTAATAACGATTATTGTGTTAACTTTAGACGTAAATACGTCACTTCTGGTTATTGCAAAAAGAATATCTTTTATACCTTTCCAGTTAAGCCAGACCTGAATCAGACGTTACAAGAGCAAATTTTTATATGAAGATCATCGGGTTAGGATTACTCGGATTATAGATTTACTTGTATGGATTGATCTTGTTCAGAACTTTGAGGACCGTTTTAGCTGTCGGCCGGAGTGACGGATCCTCGTTCCAGCACCTCTCCACCAGTTTCTGTATCCCTCCGATATGTTCAGCTTCCGGAAAGTTGTCAGTGAGTGACGTAAATTTTGGTCGATAATACAAACCATCCTTGGGTATCAAAATATTCCGGATTATTTCTGTGAAATTGGTAACAGAATTATTTCATTCTGGGAAACATTTTTTTCTGTATGGCATAGCAATAAATGGCCAGTGTAACAATGGTTAAAATTGAATTCTGTACTTTACATGCATGTAAAACTAAATTTTGTCACATTTTTCTTTTTACATGTACATTATTCGTTTCAATGTATTTCAAGGATAAATCCAAATTATGGATTTCTATATCAGGCTTTATCCGACTCAGTTTCTATACGACACTGTATTTTGGATGTTAAAATCAATTTCATTACTTATATGTAACTTAAATGATTGTCTCGTTTCTTTCATATATATAATTTTGGTAGTTTGAAATTTCTCCTTGTGGTTTTTGGCCATGGCGGCTTTCAAACTGTGTCGAGTAGTTGTTCCTACCGTCTGCCGTGAAGTCTGAAGACTGGTACGGCAGCTCTCTGGTCACTATCTCCATAGCGATCACCCCAAAGCTGTAAATGTCTCCGGATTGTGAACCAAGCCTCATCCTTTTATTTAGGGCTTTCTTCAGAAATTCTGGGGCCGTCCAAAATAACGCTTCAGAAATACAGTAAAGGTAATTGTACAAACGCAAATTCATAAATTCGTAAATTCATGAAGTATTGCTGCCTGCCATAGTTCTCAGCAACGTAATATTTTAAATCGGTATCAAAATTTTGAATTTCCATGGCAATCATTCTGCCTAAAAGATAAAATAATAATAAATAGATATCAATAGATAATGTTGGGTATTTCTGTATTCACATACACAAATAGGTTAAGATTAATATTGTCTTTGATGTGCTTCCAACATTTTAGTTCAACATATCAAATTGCGTAATGCAAAATCAAGCTTATTGCCTAACCCTTGAATCGATTTTCCTCTGTAGGGTCTGCCTCAACACCATTCATGAGATAGCGTGGTCCGAAATCGGTCAGTTTACATGTCCATCTACTGTCCACTACGCACGTGGAACTCTGAAGTCCACCATGGAACTTGAGGTCTGATCGGTGAATATATTCGAGTCCCTGGGTCAGTAAACAAGACGATATATTGACATACATGTAATGTAATGGACCCAAAAGAAATATAGGAGGACAATGCAGGATATTTTTATACCTTTATACCTTGGATTGAAAATAAAACTTCGAATTCTTACAACATCGTTGTGTCTCAAACACTGGAGTAAATCCGCTAAAATTAAATACATAAAGACATCGCCGCGATTTTTCGTTAACGGATCTATGTAAAAAGATACACCGTGAAAACTATATGAAAATGAAAGTATTGCATTTATTTGGTCTATCACTAAATAATGCACTATCGCATATAATTTTCATCAAAATATATACACCTATGTATACTTTGTATTAATGGTCTAGCCTTCATGAATGTAGTCTATATCTTTCAACATACTGAAAATGTGGTTACTTTAGAGAGATGATCATTTTCGCTATTTTCGAGGACGGAAAAAGCGGTGAAAATTATATATTTTGTACATTAGAAATAAAATTAATAGCAAAAATCTCAGTCCTTGTACTGACGAAATACATCCTTTTAAACCGTTGCCTGTTAACTGACTTATGTTGAAAGTGCATTTTCTTTGTTTCATCGTTTTGGTAAAATGCATGTATTTGAAATGACGGGAAAAAAATGAAACAAACTCAATATGTCACTATTGTTCGAGTCAGTTACTGACCTGGTTATCCGTCATCATGCAGCCTTGAAAAGTGTCTTTATTTGTGACTAATAGAAAGAACTCACCTTACAGATGTCAACTGCCAATGATAATTTGAACATTGTGTCTAATTTTATATCATCATTAGCAAGGATATCCTGAAATAAGAAAAAGGTTAATTAAAACTAGATAATGTGATTTCAATTGATGAATATAAAAATACCTAATCAAGGTACTTCAATGATACGCTTAAAGTCGTTATTTTTGTGCTGATATCGCGAAAGGAGACAAAGAAGGCAATAATATCTAACATATTACAATACAATGACAGAGGAATAGTAAGGCAGAATTGTTGAAAAAATTTTAAAAGCTACAATGGTATGACAGATGTTTAACCACAACAAAATATTAACCACACTACTGTGTCTTGTTTTTTTTCTTTGAAAGATTTACCTAATTACATTCTCAACATGTTTTGATTATATGGATGATTGGCAATGGGATGGTTATTCTTTAGAACATTCGGGTTGTAAAAGACTTGGCACATACAAAATCATAAGCGGTCTATAAATCTAAATCATGTCCAACCTTTAGACTGCCTTTACCGCAGTATTCCCACAAAACGCAGATATGACCAGGATCGGTACAGACCCCCCGCAACGTTGTCAGATTGTTGTGCTTCAGATCCATCAGCTAGAAATTAAGATAAATGATGAAGAAGTAAATATTATTGTACTTTCAGCGTTTTGTTCAGCAGAATATTACATGACAGACATTGCAGCAACCATGTTGTATAAAAGCATTCACAACAATAACGATATTGTAATTTATAAAATAACCAAAAGGATGGAGCATGAAATACGCCACCGGACAACAATGCTAAAGATCAGAGTATATGACTATTTAAGGAGAACGTCAAGTACACTCACATACATGTGTGTATTTATTCTGAATCACGTTACTCTTCGAATGAGCTAAAATTTAGCATGCAGGTTACAGCAAACATCGGGGACCAAAAGTCTACCAGCAGTGTCTACCATCTGCAATCTCGAAGATACACATGAGTCCATAACACCTTTTAATACAAATTTAGAGCAAGATACAGTAGAGAAACATATTGACCTTGATGAACCAGGAACGTAATAACTAGAAGTAAATTATCGGTATACTCTCTTCTATCGTCTTACCATTTTCATTTCTTTGAGGAATGCTCGGTCTGTAGTGGTGACCTTCTTTTTCCTGATATGTTTGACCGCTACTACTGACCGCTTAAACTTGGCTATTGCTACAGAGCTGTGCTCCTGTTTTTGTATGGCCTCTGAGAAAGAGTCGGTCATAGTCGTCTGACCGTACGTGTACTCTGTTTGTCTGTCCGTTCCTAAACTCTTGGTACTCTTGGTCATGTGAACCGACATGTTCTGAAATTTAGTTTTTTGGTAAAAGGATTAGTTTCTAAATTTTAGATGCTTTGTTGAAATTATTAAACTTGTTTGGAAGTGATGTACATTTTAAGATATCATTTCCTGGCACTTGTTATAACGACATCTTTTTTACTACTCGGTGGCCATTAAGACACTTGAGCCTCTTGTCTTTTTTAACAAAACGATGTTTCACTTTTTGCAAGAACAATGCCGTCTTTTCTATGGTAATTGTCAACAAGTCCATGTATCAGTTCAAATTCGAAATCACATGGCAACTGTCGTGTTCAATATGACTTATACATGCCGTTTTAGCGACCGAATGAAATAATACTAAGCTTCTGTGTTTTAAAAGGCTTTGTTCAGACCAATTCGTCCCGTTCTAACGATTCTGTTTGATTTTAGAATATTGCCATTTCTAAAATGATTTGTAAACCGCAATCATAGAAAATTTGTGTATATGTATTCCGGCAAAATTTAACGGATTAAGCATTGGGAGAAATGAGTTCACAATATGGAATACGATAAAAGGGATGCCTCCAAAAATTATCATCTCGCAATTGAAAAATCGTGTTTTCATAATTTCTAATTGCTGCTGGATGAAGCCGTTTTCTTCTCTCCATTGGATTTCATTTGAATATCATATTGTATCATAGAGAACAGCCTAGTAGAGCTTAATGATACCAAGGGAGATCACTTCGAAAATCTTCGTCATCTTAACGTTTGCTTTATTACGTAATACGCAATTGGACTGCCAAGCTACATACTGACAAATAAATCATTAACGAGATCAACGGTACGAAGGCAGGCCACTTTGAAAAACATGGTCATTTTGATTGGATTTAGTACGAAATATAAAACTGCATGCTAAGCGCCTGCATAACATTGTGGTAGACCATGTATGATGGCATTTTTTATGCCGACCGCAGGGAGCATTTAAACTGAATATAATTTTAACGTTTGTGATGTAACTTGAGATCTGCCCAGGGACCATTGCTGATCTCGCCAATATATAGAACTACATAGTGTTGAGGTTGTTAGGCATGGTTGAGTAAACTTCTATGTTTATTGATTAGCATGCTGCTGCCGTATTGCTATGTACAAATTGTAAATACATATAGGTACATTGTTATAAACACGTCGTGCACATTCATTGTACTGTAAACATCTGCTCGATCTGTGTTTATTTGTGGAAATACCTGATAACTATTCAAATGCTTAGTGCGACCATAATGGTAGATGATATACACAACTGTAGTGAAAAATATAGAAAAAATGTGATAAACGCCTCTTCTGCATAAAGGATTTCATACCAGTTTCCATTCAATTGAGACTTTTGAAACGAGTCTTCAATAGAATTTTCGTTTGACCATGCCTCAGGTGAGGTAAAATGAAAAAAATACGGAAGGACTTACAAAAATCCCATATGAATTGGTAAACATATAGAAGATTCTATTTATCACATGATTTAGATACTTTTGCCTTTTTTTTTTTTTTTTTACCATTTTTCCCCTTTGGTTGTTATTATTCGAGGGTGAACTTTGATCGTGAATTGGTTTATGCCAACAGTAAATTTTGTTTTCTATTACTGAATAGAGCTATTTCTTATTATTTCGTAACATATTGCAATATCTCGAACTTATTTCGCGAATCAGGAGTTTGCCACTTTACATGGTATTCAACCATTTTATGCAGGTTTTTGGTAAGAAACGTTTACAAAACTGATTTAATTTCAAATTCAGGGAAGCTCCGTAATGTGCACGGAAAAGTTTTGATAAAAACACAACTTTTCCAACTTTCGCATCAATTGCGTCGAAACAAGAAAATTATCTGTCTTGATTTGTTTCTGTTGATGTAGACAACCTGTTGTTCAAGATCTACTTAAACATTGCACATAAGCATACCGGCATGTATCATATAAAAATATATTTCATGTGCGGCGCTTACCTACCTGCAAATAAAATCATTCTTTTGTTCTATCAATTCCATATTTCAAGAACGTTGTATTCATCATAAATACGCTTCGGACTTTTACTATTGAACATATTTTCATTTACCCTACAATATTTCTTAATTCCATAAATGCGCGCTCTCCTAAAAGCATACATACCATTAAAGATCGATTCCTTCTGCCAACCTCGAAATCCAGAGCATGGAAAGGAATCTTCCAGCCCATGTTATTTAGTTCCCTCTCACGTCGCCAGAACCTGGAAAATAATTAAATATTTTAGAAGATAATCTAAACGGATTTTCTTTCATCTGAAATAAATATTTTTTTTACATTACTTGATGGATTCCAAATAAACTTATTTCATAACAACATACAGAAAATCGTGAATATCATGAATCCGTCATTACTAAGGTAAGGTTTTATATATTATGATACAAGCGTTATCAATTTAGAGGAAAACACGAGGATCTTGTTTTCGGAGGAAACCGATTATCCCCGGATAACTCACGAAGTCGAACAGGTGACTGTAGATACATTTCCACATCCTATCTGGAAATGGAGCCGTGGACGAAAGGCTCTCGTGCATGTGTTACCAATTATTATCGTCATACTGTTTCTTGAGTATTCTGCTGATACGATTTGTAGGATGATTTTGTTGGAAAATGATTTCAAAAATGTGTTTTAATTTACCTATGTAGCTTACCTATGTATGTTGTAAACGCACAATGCACTTGTAAATTATTTTACCTGAAAATAAGCAGAAGTACGAAGAGAAGTCCCACCATACCGACTGACAATCCGACATACAGTTCCACTTGTGTTCCTGAAAGTGAGAATTGGGTTTGTAAATTTGTTGGTTAATAATTGTATTAGTATATATTAGAAATCATTTGTCAAACCACGCGAGACTTCACTCATTAAAAACCTGTGGAAGGTCTGTAAATAGTTTATTCAAGGCAGAAAATTATAGGATATATATGTATACTTTGTGCAGTGATGCGTGCATACAGAATGAATACTATACATCTTTACACTACACTGAATAACTTCAAGGTCTCATATAGATTCCAACTAAACTTATACATTTTTTTCAATACACAGGAAACCTGTCATTGTTATATATGTGTATCACCATCATTTATACCGGTATCCATTGTCACGGCATTAAACAGTAAGTTCCGGTATATGCCATAAAAGGCATCATCTTTGTACCTGCAAACACGTGATAGTATACTATAATGCACGTCTATGCTTAGAAACATTCATGATATAACAGTCAGTCTATCATAGTTTCATAAAACACGACTACAATCTCAACACAAGCCAGTAGTAACGGCGACACGGCATTCAAACCATATTGATTATTGTGTTAAAATAACGGGTAAGAAGTGTGAATTAGTTTGCCAGTACTCTCAGTACTAAAACGTCCTCTAGTAATGCAAGACATTTCCACAATTATGAATGTGAATTAAATGAGTTAACACGTGTAGTGCAATAAACAAGATACAAGAAGAATTTACCTTATTTTGTCATCTGTCCCGGGATCACCTGTTCTGTCTGTATTGGTTTTTACCTGTATGTGTGGCTGTGACTGACTGGTTCTACGATGATCGATACGGTCCTATAGACAATTTTGCTTTTATCGATCTTTGTATATTGTGTCAAATGCTAGACGGTTGACAACTCTCATTAATATTCCAACACATTTATAAACATGCTCGTTTTCAAAATCGTTCGTGTATGAGTGTAAGTTTCGATTTCCATGAGTGCTAGAAAGTGTAAATGTGCAGGTGTCAAGTTTCATGAACGCGCGCCGTTCTAGTAATGTGTAGTATCACGGACTGTCCGTGGTAGTATCAATTCTGTCAGTACTACAATATCCTGCACATTCAAAATCAGATATATACTCTTGGTTATTATAATCGTTCTAACTAATCCATCTAGCTTATTTTAACACACTCGTCCAAGCCAACCTGTTATAAAAGACTCGACCTATATAGCTACATGTACTTGAAGATGATCCGTTCTAACATGTACCGGTTTCGTTTGTTTATACTTACATGCTCCAGCTAATCCGTTCTAACTTTCCAGTCCAAGCTAATCCGTCCTAACTTACCAGTCTAAGCTAATCCGTCTAACCTACCCGTCCCAACTAGCAACTTCTACTTTACCGGTCTCAGCAATCCGTTTTAACTTACCCGTTCGAGCTAATCCGTTCTAATTTACCGGTCCCCACTAATCCGTTCTAACTTACCGGTCCCCACTAATCAATTCTAACTTACCAGTTCAAATTAATCCGTTCTTACTTACCTGTCCCAACTAATCCGTTCTAACTTTCCGGCCCCATCTACTCGTTCTAATTTACCCGCCTCAGCTAATCCGTTCTAACTTACCTGCCCCAGCTAATCCGTTTCCTAACTTACCCGTGCCAATCGATACGTTTTTATTATCCCGTCTCAGATAACCCGTTCTAATTTACCCGTCCCAACTAATCCGTTCTAACTTACCTGTCCCAGCTTCACCGTTTTAACTAACCTGTCCCAGCTAATCCGTTCTAATTTACTCGTTCCAGCTAATCCATTCTAACTTACTGGTCCCAGCTAATCCGTTCTAACTTACCTGTCCAAGCTAATCCATTCTAACTCACTGGTCCCAGCTAATCCGTTCTAACTTACCGGTCCCTTTTAATCCGTTCTAACTTACCGGTCCCAACTAATTCGTTCTAAATTACCCGTGTCAGCCAATACGTTCTTATCATCACGCCCCAACGAATCCGCTTTGAAGTACCCGTCCCAGCAAATTGTTCTAACATACTGGTCCCGCTAATCCATTCTAACTTACATGTCCCAGCTAATCCGTTCTAACTTACCCGTCCCAACTAATCCGTTCTAACTTACCCGTCCCAACTAATCCATTCTAACTTACCTGTCCCAGCTAATCCGTTCTTATTAACTCGTTTCAGCTGATCCGTTTTTATTAACTCGTTTCAGCTGATCCGTTTTTATTAACTCGTTTCAGCTAATCCGTTCTAATTAACACGTTTCAGCTAATCCGTTCTAACTTACCCGTCCCAACTAATCCGTTCTAACTTACCCGTCCCAACTAATCCGTTCTAACTTACCTGTCCCAGCTAATCCGTTCTTATTAACTCGTTTCAGCTAATCCGTTTTTATTAACTCGTTTCAGCTGATCCGTTTTCATTAACTCGTTTCAGCTAATCCGTTCTAATTAACACGTTTCAGCTAATCCGTTCTAACTTACCCGTCCCAACTAATCCGTTCTAACTTACCCGTCCCAACTAATCCGTTCTAACTTACCTGTCCCAGCTAATCCGTTCTTATTAACTCGTTTCAGCTAATCCGTTCTTATTAACTCGTTTCAGCTGATCCGTTTTTATTAACTCGTTTCAGCTGATCCGTTCTAATTAACTCGTTTCAGCTAAATCGTTCTAATTAACTCGTTTCAGCTAATCTGTGCATCAACTGGTTCTGAGTTTTAAGTTTCATGGGTTTTACTTTAAAACCCTTCCACAGATTTGGCCATACTATCGTTTAAGAAACGTAACATTTAAGCCAAAAACTGTTTTCTTATTTTAAAACCCATGGACACATGCATCTTTGATCTTACACTCCCTAACTAGCTATGGTGACAGAGTTCGATTTTTCTCTATTACTACTTGGACTGTCCTTTTCTGTGATCACATACCTGACTCCTGGATACAAAGCTCCCCGTGGAAGCCACAGACGGGAACATCGGGCGGGACATATTCATCGCTAGTTCTGCCATCTCCCCACCGGATAATTCCTACATGGGAATCCTGGAGAGAAGAAAAAATGATAAAAAAAAAAAAAAAAAAAAAATCTTACTCGATGTGTTTTTAGTTTCCTACGTTTATGATGACAGGGCAAATTTCATAAAAAAAAATCATCTGTTTTTCATTTTCAGAAAGCGAGATATGTGCATTCCAAGTGAAAACCTGTGCTTATTGCTGTATACAATGACAATGTTGATTTTCCATATAATGAAAAAATTCGATACTTTTTTCTGTTCTATTTCAGTATTATAAAAATTCCGAAGAGAATGAGAAACAATTAGATATAATTGATTATGTTGTGGTAACGTTCTGTTTGACTGTTGAAGAAGCAGGATTCATTGTTTTCTGTTGCACTAATGAAACATTGATATCTTTTCAGCACAATACCATATTTTCTCACCACAACGCCAATAACTTAAGATATATTGTCACGATTAAATGTCTGGAAAAGTTAACATTATAACATATTTTCCTGATCACTTTTTGGATGTTTTCTCCGAAGTCTTCCACAGTTTCTCGTCTGAATTGCTTCATACAATATGCTGTCTTTTAAAAGTGCTTAATAAGAAAAATATCTTTGTTTCCGGTTTCAGCCTGAAACAGGTTAGGGTCGGTAGGTTGGGATTTTTGCTTCCTCTTATTTCTCAATTGCCACATAGGGAATGGTTTATACCCAATGTGTGAGGTATGCATAAGTATCACATGTGTGTGTTTTGAGTTGTTTGTAATGTTATATATCACAATCTATATTACAAGGTCTATGCTGTTTTATTTTCGAAAATGATATTTTCCATATACCATCATTATTGTCTTTACTTTTTGTCATATGACGAGTTTCATCTGGACAGATGGACAGACAGACAAGGTAATTCCTATAAAACCGTCTGAAACAGTAATGCATCATTTTACATACACCACTTCTATAGTCGATGCCTTGGCTTACATACCGAATGAGGCTTGCCATTGAGTAAGTCGTATTGAAGATGAGCGACTTCCGCGAAAGTGTTGTTTTCAAGAAGATCGAAGATTGCCACCCCTGGGTAGCGGTCAGCGTGAACGGACATCAACACCAAACCAGACAGACCTTAAACATGTTTACAGGGTATTATAAAATTGGTTAGCAATTACATAAAACCATCACAAATTGCTTGTTTTGTCAGTCAGCTTTAACGGAACGCGACACTTTATTCCCTAGTAAAGATCCGGAAGGCGTTCCCTATTGGAGTGGTTTGTGTTTCTCAGGAAGCTGTCGTGGTTGTGTTCTTGGCAAAACACTTTTCTCCAGCTTATCATGACAATAGGGGACGAGCCTTCCGCATAATGTTCATTAAGGTACCCATCAACTATTGCGAGGAGACCTCCTCAAAGCATGTCTGATTGTTCTCGAAACAATAATCACAGCAAACAAGCAAGCAAACAAACAAATAAACAAACAGGTTTAGTGCCATTTTTAATTCGTGATTTACTTTTAACTGTCAAACTTTATCTATCACTGGTATTTTCTTGTTCGACATTGTATGTAGACCTGACGACAAACACATCACTGATGATCATTAAAAAGAATTTTCTTGTATCAAATATCATCACGTGTTATTTTAAGAGAACGCTTTACATTTGCGGAATACTTAACGATTCCTGAGAAGAAAAGTACCATTTAAAATATGAATAGCGTTTTACCTTGAAATGAAATGGTGTGAGTAGTTTTTGCGATGTCCGCGCCGCTGAGTGGACGGGTAGGCGTCGGTATGTAAGTTGTGTTTAATACTTTGGCGTAAAGCAAGATGGCGTCGTGTAGATAGATCGAATATTTATCTGGCTGGTTAACAGAACAGCAAAGATAAGTAAATAGTTCTAATATAGTATGCTCACAAATAAATACTGTAGAGTAAATGTCAGCTTGATTGAGAATCCAAATTATACTTCACTTTTTCTTTCTTTAATTATTAAAAAGACTTGAATCCCTGCAAAGAAAACGGCTAATCGATCAACACAAATAATGAAAATTTACTCTCTATCATCGACTTTTTATGAAAAGTAGACGATAAACAGAATCGTTGGAGACCTTTCCGAAATGCCGATGTACGTTAAGAACACCAGTGTATAGTAGTATACCTCTGATAAGACAGGCATGTTGCTGGAGCCGGGGGGATACACTCTCGCCGAAGCCTCCTTTGCTATCTGATGCCAAGCTCCAATATCTTCATGTGTATTTCCAAAGATCACCTTTAAATTAATTATAGCAAACAGAATGGAAATTTAATTATCCAATTTGAAAAAAGTCTGGTGTAGTATATGTGTATCTAATATTCACGTACGTTCAGTCAGTTTAATTCTTTCAAATTCAGTTTAGATGTTTCACGGTACTTTCTCTTCTTAATTGAAGGACGAAAAAAATTGCGTTACATGGACGGCGTCATTCTCCAGTTATTGCAAGAATTGATTGTAACATGATGTATTTAAAAGAATGTTGCTGAAAAGAAAGCACAATTGCCATAGCTACCGATCGAATTTTTGCTTTTGCTTTGAAATACATAAGCATTATGAAAATAAACTAACAAAACAAGGTTTTGAAAACATTGAAGTATATTTTCTAAAACACGAAGAAGCTTATTAGATATAAACTAAACAAATTATGCAGAGGATGCTGTGCTACGATATTGGTGATGCGACAACTAATCTAGAGTCATGCGATTGTCGTTGTAGTAAAACGTTCTCCGAAACAAAGGACTCAAATACACAATTACATCTTTTTACCTTCTTTTAATATCGTAAAATTTATAATGAAATAACTTGTTTAGCTTAAACTGAGACATGAAATTCGTGGCTCCCAAAAAAAAAAAAAATTCTGGTTATTAATGAAATTTTCAATGAAATCAAATTGTATTTGAAAACTTACATATAAGACATTTCTGAAGGCTTGTTTCGCCTCAGCGTCGTAACCGTCCCCTCTCTCCCACATCCATGTACTCGCTAAATTGTCAATGTCACTTTTCGACGGAAGTGTGGTTTTTAGGAACACAAACTGATAATCACCTCCTGTCATGCCCAGTGCGGCGGCCCTGAGCATGTATCTACGGAGTTCTGTTTCCGGTACAATCATGACGATGACTGTTACAATAGTTTGAAAAATAAAGGTATTTGAATAGTTTTCAAATGTTTAACATGTTTTTATGTCATCCATATAAAAAATGCAATTCAGTGCGAAATAAATTCGTTTTGAATGAAAGACACAATAAAGTACACCCCTTTAAATAAACAAACAAATACTTTTTATTTCTATCATGTACAAAGTCAACATAGCGGTGCAAAATGTGGGCGAAGTAATTATTACTCTTCAAATTGTAACAGTGAATCAATTTTATTTCCAGATGTCAACATGTACTAACATTAGATAACTATAGCAAAACCCAATGTCATACAGACTTTCTTATTTGTCACATTATATCAACATGAAGAATTTTCCGTCCAAGACAGGTGCAACTCAATACCATTCATGGTTAAAATGGAACATGTATACGCTCTGACAGATTCTGAACGATCCATCCTTGCTGATATTCAAGACAAACGATATATTTTTATTTTTTTAAACATCAACAAATAGCAATACAGATAAATTTGTTACTTTGACACGCGTACTTCTGCTCTCGTTTTTGACGGCTTGAAATATGGCGTCCACTTCCGCTGACGTCATGTTCCAGGTGACTTCCGAGTAGTGGTGGGCGATATAGACACCGAGGTTTTCACTTGGGGATTGTAGCGTCGCCACGATGGCGTCGGCGTAACCCTGGGATACGGTGTCTGATGCTGATATCAATACAATCCGGTACCATTTGAGACCGTACATAAAAAATGTCAGAATTCCGCCTGTGTCAATTTAAAAATGTACTTTTTTTTACTTATAAAGAAGTAGATAAGGATGGTGAGATTATATGTGTCCACACCCCGCCCCCTTATTGAAAAATGTACAATATAAAGCAAAGGAGGGAGAGGGATTTTTTGTTGTTGTTTTTTTAATTTTTTGTTGTTTCTTTTTTTCTTTCTTTTTTTTTTTTTTTTTTTTTGATGTTTCTGATAAGAAATATTTTTTTGCAAAAGCAGGATCAGGAAAAGGAAAAATAGATTCTCCATGGACACTAAATTAACTGTGTTATTTTTCTTTCATGATGATTCATAGGATAAAACATGACTGGTGTAAGGACAGTTCAAATACACTGTTGGCCTTAAGGCGAGGGGAAATAACTCCCATAGAGTTTATTAAATCAAATAATTGATTTTTCTACCGTTTTGGTAAATCAAATAGCTTTTATTAATAATTCATAGAAAAGTCAGTTAATCAATATATATTCTCTACAGCGAACGCTTTTTGACAGGTCCAGCTTCATATCGTACAAAGAAATAAAACAGTCCTCCAGTTATCAATACGGTTTGAATAATTCGTAATGCAATAAAATATCTTCTATAAAGACAATTTTAACCAATCAGGATAAATAGAATTCGACTTCCTGTTGATCCGGGTTTAAAGCGTGGGCACATTAACATACGGAACGATGCAATACGTCACAAACCATACTAAGATACGAAACGGGGAGAGCTGTATTAAGACGTCTATTTATATGAAGAGCTATCTACCATCTGTGTCTCAAGTCAAAGTGACAAATGTTGACGCATCTCCAGTTGGACAGAATGCAAAAACTGTCACTCAAGAATACGTTGGTTCAATTCATATCTCACACCATGACTACAACGTGCCGAAGCATTTTGCCTCTTCAATATTATGAGTGTTTAATCTAATGTCACATAGTCATTTTCTTTTAATACGAAATATTGAACTATGGCGGGCGTTAGTGTTGTTAATGTTTAATAAAAACAATAAATAACTATAGATCTTATCTGACAATGTATATCTACTTTAGTCCTCTTATATGAAGGGGGAGATAATTCATAAACACATTGTTGAATCAAGACAAATTAAAGGCGAGAACAATAGAACCAATGCATTGTATTTGGATCCATTTATCTAGTACTGATAGCAAAATATGTTTAAATCATTGTATTTGGAGTCATGGCATAGACTTATAGAGGTACAGTCCCATTGCATACTATATATAGTTCCATTACATACTATATATAGTCCCATTACATACTATATATAGTTCCATTACATACTATATATAGTCCCATTACATACTATATATAGTTCCATTACATACTATATATAGTTCCATTACATACTATATATAGTTCCATTACATACTATATATAACCCCATTACATACTATATATAGTCCCATTACATACTATATATAGTTCCATTACATACTATATATAGTCCCATTACATACTATATATAGTTCCATTGCATATTATATATAGTCCCATTACATACTATATATAGTCCCATTACATACTATATATAGTTCCATTACATACTATATACAGTCCCAATACATACTATATATAGTTCCATTACATACTATATATAGTCCCATTGCATATTATATATAGCCCCATTACATACTATATATAGTCCCATTACATACTATATATAACCCCATTACATACTGTATATAGTCCCATTGCATACTATATATAACCCCATTACATACTATATATAGTCCCAATACATACTATATATAGTTCCATTACATACTATATACAGTCCCAATACATACTATATATAGTTCCATTACATACTATATATAGTCCCAATACATACTATATATAGTTCCATTACATACTATATATAGTCCCATTGCATACTATGTATAACCCCATTACATACTGTATATAGTCCCATTGCATACTATATATAGTCCCATTACATACTATATATAACCCCATTACATACTATATATATTCTCATTACATACTATATATAACCCCATTACATACTATATATATTCTCATTCCCATTACTATATATATATATTACATACTATATATGTCCTATATTATATATAGTCCCATTACATACTATATATAGTCCCATTACATACTATATATAACCCCATTACATACTATACATAGTCCCATTGCATATTATATATAGCCCCATTACATACTATATATAGTCCTATTACATACTATATATAGCCCCATTACATACTATATATAGCCCTATTACATTAACATACTTACAAATTTTGGGAACAGGTCGATGTACGTATAAGGATTGGTGTGTGTGTGTGGGGGGTACTGCATGAATTACATCAATGGTGGCACATTCGTATTGCGAGGAATATAATGATGAACTACAATTTTAGATACCCAGTACCGAGAGAAGCGAGATGATGGGGCTCATTCTCGGTATGGAGAAATCCTGGGTGTTTGGGGCATATACTGTATACTAAGCGCGGGCTTGAGTGATACACACAAGGAAACGAAGGAGGCGAGTATAATACAGACTTGCGGGACTTAGAGACTAGAATGGTGTGTCCGATACAGAGTACCGAGAGAGAAGAAAATGTGATTACATATTACATATACATAAATACCTAGAGCCGACAAGGGTGGTATACTCATTATCAAAGTATCCAGCTCCGTCTTGTCATCCAGAGATTCTTCGTTTCCCAGCCACTGGAACACGGCGATGTCGCGATAGGACGCCAGCTGGGCTATAGGGATCATAGCTGAAAAAGACACGTCCTTTGTTATGACGACGATCCAAAATGTATGTAACATGAGAAACACAAAACAACGATAAAAAATCTCAAACATTTACAATGAAAAAACTTGTGTTAAAATGCTTTATCTTATCGTAACGTAATCACAATAAACTTTTATCTCTCAATCGTACTGTATCACCTATATTCTGTTGAGTTTAATTTAATTTGATCTTATTCAGCTCAACTTTAATTGGTAAACGAAAGAAAGGTAAAAAGGACACTTTGATTTTTTCATATCTGACTTAGTCCGAATTCACAAGAAGATACGATCAGAACAGTTTCATGAAAATATATGTTTAAAGATACAGATATAGAAATCAAAGAGACGAGCACAGCAAAAAGTTAAAACATAAGAGACGCCTCCTATACAGTTTGTTTACCCAGTCAACAGGTTTGAGCAGTATTCCATTTTCCTATATATTGTGACCGCTATATTTAGACGTACTTTCGGCTATTTATGCACATGTACTTACAGAACGCTATCCATTTTAATCCCACAAATCTGTTTGGTACACACTGAACAGCTGTATGTATCGGTGTACGATTTTGAAATAAAAATCTGTTTACTAGCAGTAAGAACGACTGAAATTTTACAATCATACAATATTTATTTTTAAATTTATCATATTAACATTGTTTCGTTAATTAATTTTTTGCAAATATTACTCTTTTATACAATTGTCTATTTATACCACTTATTTCAGCCAGTCACCGACGGACAGTAACGCTACATATAAAATCAATTTTTAAAAAAGTAACTTTACCTGAATACTTCATCATCTTATCACAATATTCAGATGTTACCTTTGTATACAGAGACAAAAATAACGTTTTTATTGAGACACTCTGTCTTACCTGACCAGTCTATTTAATATTTGTATAGACATAGCGTAGAGAGTATCAACTGCTTTGTGGCAGTAGAAACTTGTTTAAACTTACTTACCCCGGATGGCGAGCTTAAATTTCAAAGTCAACAGTAAAAACTTATTTCTTTATTAGTACACAAAATATTGCTAATTTAGAAAGATTTTGAAAGCGAACTTGCATTTAAAATATACACTCAAAATTTAAGGCAATTGAAAATTACCTTGTGTACATGGCTGAGACAAAGACTTATATAACTACCTTCGGTATATTGTGGAAATGGCAGACATGTCTTATATAACTACCTTCGGTATATTGTGGAAATGGCAGACATGTCTTATATAACTACCTTCGGTATATTGTGGAAATGGCAGACATGTCTTATATAACTACCTTCGGTATATAGTGGAAATGGCAGACATGTCTTATATAACTACCTTCGGTATATTGTGGAAATGGCAGACATGTCTTATATAACTACCTTCGGTATATTGTGGAAATGGCAGACATGTCTTATATAACTACCTTCTTATCTTTAGTATATCTTGGACAGAGAGACATATCTTGTGTACATGGTGGAAAGAGAGAGACTTTCCATGTGTACATGGTGGACAGAGAGAGACTTATCTCGAGTACATGGTTGACAGAGAATGACTTATCTCGAGTACAAGGATGACAGAGAGTGACTTTCCATGTGTAAATGGTGGAATAAGATAGACTTGCTTTGTGTACATGGTGGACAGAGAGAGACTTATCTCGAGTACATGGTTGAAAGAGAATGACTTATCTCGAGTACATGATTGACAGAGAGTGACTTTCCATGTGTACATGGTGGAATCAGATAGACTTGCTTTGTGTACATGGTGGACAGAGAGAGACTTATCTCGAGTACATGGTTGACAGAGAGTGACTTACCTTGAGTACATGGTGGAATAAGATAGACTTGCTTTGTGTACATGGTGGACAGAGAGAGACTTATCTCGAGTACATGGTTGAAAGAGAATGACTTATCTCGAGTACATGGTTGACAGAGAGTGACTTACCCTGAGTACATGGTTGACAGAGGGAGACTTATCTCGAGTACATGTTTGACAGAGGGAGACTTATCTCGAGTACATGTTTGACAGAG